CACGACACGCACTCGACCGCACACGCACACACTCACACGCTACAGGGTTATGGGGTTCGTCAACTTCATGAAGATGGAGGACGCGCAGCAAGCCATTATGGCCCTCAACGGCTACCAGATCACGCCCAACAAGACCCTGCAGGTCTCCTTCAAGTCCCAGGGCAGAGGCGGCGGCGGGATGGGCGGAGCAATGGGTGGCGGCGGAGCAATGGGTGGAGCAATGGGTGGCGGCGGCGGCATGGGAGGTGGCGCCCACTACGCCCACCACGGCCCGCCCGCCTACTGAGCACCTTACCCTTCCCTCTCCCCCTATCATCGTCGTTCACCTTCTTTCTCCTCTCCTCTCCCTCTTCATCTTCCTTGCATCACCATCTTCTGCTTTCCTATTTTGTGTACAAACTTTGCAGGTCCTCCTTCAATGCAACACCACCACTACTATGACCCAAAGGATGAAGGGGTTGGGTGGAAACTGGTTGTAGCGCACAAATAATAATAATAATAATAATAAAATTGGCCAACCACAGGCGGAAAAATAGGGGTTCGCGGATTCTGAATTTCAGTTGGGACACATGTTCAGTGAGATGAGGATCACGGTGGTGGGCAATGGTGACAGAGGCAGGAAGGACCCGGGTAGCTCAACTGGCAGAGTGCCGCATCACATCTAATCGCGGAGGTTGGGAGTTCAACTCTCCTCCTGGCCCTTCTGTTTTGTTGCTTTGTCTGAGAAGTGGACCGAGTTCCATCGCCTGTGGTGCAGAAGCTGGCTCGCCGCGGTCGGTGCCATGAGTCTTGACCTCCTTGAGCAACATCAGTAGCGCTCTCACCTATATCCTTGACATGCCAGTGCTGATCAACTGATGGGTAGAGCTCCTGCGTCATCATCATCTTTGGGTATGTTGGCGCACCTCTGCTTTCAGGCCACAAAATGGAAACAGAGCAACACCACTGCTGGTGATGTGTTAACATCTGCACTTCCCAATGCTACATTTCCACTGAAGCACAAGCCATCAGTTGATTAGTGATTCCACATGAGGCAATAAACAGGTGGGCTACTCTTCTGCAACTCTGACTCTGGCCACCATCACCATGAACTGACTAGCTGGTGACCTATCACTTCTGCATTCATACAACCATGCCTTCTCTTTGAGGTTTAATTGGAGGGTTGATTGCTCAGCTTCATGCAAGCAACAAAACAGAAGGGCCAGGAGGAGAGGTGAACTCCCAACCTCTGTGCTTTGATGAGATGTGGTGCTCTGCCAATTGAGCTACCCAGGTCCTTCCTGCCCCTCACCAGAGATGCCAGCATTACAGTCAGACACCATCATTGTTGTTGTTGTTGTTGTCATCATTGTTGTTGTTGTCACCTTCCTCCTCTTCCTTCTCCTCCTTCTCCTTGGTTTTACAGGCAGAATTTTGTAGAAGCTCTGATGTGTAGTTGGGTCCTCTCCAATGATGATGCCTTCCTTGCCATGGCCCATGTGGAGGAATGATTCATCATCCCTGAAACAGCCTGCTGTGAGGTGTGTTGGTGTTGGTGGTGGCCTTGCCAATGCCAGGATCTTCCCCCTTGATGCCAGCTTGACAGGCTGTGGCTTGGACAGTTGCATGTGTTGTGCTCTCCACCTTTGCCTTATAGCTCTGGTGGGTGGCTGGCTTGAGGGCCTGTCCAGGTGGGAACCATGTGTGGGATGCCCAACATCACTTAGTGAAGGAGGAGTGGAAGGAAAGAGAGGGGGGAGGGTGGTACATTGATGTCTAGGGTCCAGGGCCAAGGGTTGGCACATGGCTTCCCACACTGCTTCATGCATGGCTTGACCAAGGGCTGGCAGGCCCAACAGCAGAGTTTCCTCTTCTCTTTGTCCATCCAATTTGGGTGGAATGCACACTTGTGTAGTCACAGCTTGGACAGAATGGGAGGCAAGGGAGTGGCTTCTGTGGCCTCCTTGCACTCCATCACCTGAAAGTACTTGAGTTGTCACAACACAGCAGAGAAGAAAACTCTGCCTCTTTCTTGTCTGGTCAGCTGCTACATGAACAAGAAGGGTGAAGACAGGTGTTATTTTTTTATTGTATATTAATTCCATAATGGAATGTTGGGCCAATTACCAACATTCTGTTGAGTTTCCAGGACGTTTTAGGTGGTGGCTAGCTAGGAATTTTACCCACACCAGAGGCGAAGTGTCACTCCATCAAGGCGCACCTGCGTTTCCAAGGCCCTTTCTGGTAGTTTTCCTGTTGGCCTGTGAATAATCTGCCGAGAAAAACGCAGAGAAAAAGAAAGAAAATTCTGTGGCCAAAATGGGAGTGGCTGCAGGTGCAGGTGTATGTACTTAATTGTGTTGTATTTTACTGTATAAAGGTGTACATATGTGGAGAAATTGTCTTTTTTCATCTCTGTGTGATGGGCTAGTGGTGACCATTTTCACTCTCCACCTTCCATCCACCAAGGTGCATGAAAGGTGAAACTAACAGGTGTTGTTTGCCACCTTTGGCCCACCAACAGGGTGGGTGGACACCATGGTCTTTTTACCACCATGATCCCTGGCTGTGCTCTATGTCAGTACTGGTGCTTGCACACAGTTTTCATTGCTGCATGAATCTTGTGGTTTGGTTGTGGTCAAGATTGCATGCAAGTAGTGTGCCATGGAGAAAGCATGTGCCATGGTGTGTGAAGTGCACTGCTGGCCTGCACACATGGGTGATTGGTGATCCACCTCATGGTGAGTGTGCCCTGAAAGGGCTGATGCCCTCCCTGTCAGTGGGCCTTGTACCACCTGGGCTTGGGGAAGGGGGCAGCTTTGGCGCCTGAGACTGGTGCACTTGGGAGAGCAGTTGGCATGAATGGGGGCAGCATGCTGGACTTGTTGCTGTGGGTTGAGTGCAGTTGTGGGAGTGAGAGGCTGTTGCTCTTCTTGGCACCTGATGTCACATGTGGGTGAGGTGGCAGGGAGTGTTGTTGTGAGGCAGTGGCAGTGTGAGTGGATGTGGTGTGCTGGCTGTTGCTTTGGCTTGCCTCTGTTGTCCTTGGTGGCAAGTGCAGCTGGCTTCTCAACTGACTGCCAATGTGCTGTGTGAGTTGTCCAACTGCAGTGTGAGCATGAGTGCTCTGTGCTCCCTCTCTTGAACCATTATTGGCATGGGATACTTGATGTGCAGCATATGTGGCAAGCAATTATTGGAATTTGTGCCTATTTGGCCCAGTTTGTGTACTCAGCATGGCATACTCAGTGCCAAGTGGTGTACTTGCTGTGGCATACTTGGTGTGTGTGGCCATCTGGTATGGCATACTTGGCACAGGAATTGGACTTACATTGCTTGTTTTTTGGTGCAGCTGGCTGCCAGCTCATGAGACTCAAGTTTGCTCATTTTGCCAACTTGCTTGCCTGCATCACTCTGACACAAGAGTGATTTTGGACAGAGTGACACAGGCTTGATGTGTCCAGGTGCTTCCCCCTTCATGGATCACCTGTGGGCCATGCTGTTCAAGGTTGATGATGCCACCTTTTGCCAAGCACCTGGGCACATGCTGGATGAATTCAATGTGGAACATTGAACACATTGGAACCAAGTGTTCATGAAAAAGGGTCAGTGACCCTTTTTGCTTAGCACAAAAATCAACTATCTGTACAAAAAAGGCCACCATTTTGCTGTTTTTCATGAGGTTGGTGTACAAATCAAGGAAAGCTTGGGTATCATTTTCAGAAAATGTACAGAAGTGGAGGATGCTATTGAAGAAGGAATGACAAAGGCAGAATCCCTTTTTATGTACAGATTTCCCACCCGACGCGCGTCGGATTGCAATTTCGCCGAAATATGTGCATTTTTAAGGTCTTTTCTTGCATTTTCCACACATTTTCCGTTCACATTTCTCAGCCAGTATGTCATTGGTATTGCACTTGGCAGTCTTGCCAGACTTGTCCCTCTGTTGGCACAAAAGGAGGGCTGTGCTCTTTGTTCCAGCAGGCAGAAGGCATTGACCTCAAGGTGCATCTTTGAACTTGGTGTGTATGTGAGCATTTTTTAGGATGTGGTGGTTGAAAAACAACCAGTAGCTGACAGCATGCAGGATGGAGTTGTGCTGTGGGGCAACTTTGCGCATCTAGGCGCTCTTAGGCACCACAGGCGTTTAAGGTTGTCCCAGTGTATGGTCAGTGGACTGCTCTTCACCCAGTTCTGGAAAACCAGAATTGCCAAACCTGGCTTTTTCCATCCATGCACCACAGGAAATAAAATAAAAATGTTTATCAGCCTGTAGGAGGAAGTCACTGATCATGCCCTTATCACATTCACCTGCTGCTCATGAGAGCCCCACAGTACAAAAGTAATGGAATAGATTGAAAGAAATAGTAGTGGGCAGAATAGAGGAGAGGTAGAGAGGAAGTGAGGGATGAGTGGGATCACTGTTCTTTTCATTGCAGGCAGCAAGCATGTTGGCAAGCACAGTGGTGGGCTGCTAGGTCAAGTTGTTACAGATGGGATGACTTCAGGTGGCAGGAGCTTCCTGCCACTGCCTGTTGCTGGAGCGTCTTCTTCTTCCCTGCCAATGGTGAGCCTAAACTGGGAGGAAACGAGCCAATCCCCTGTAATGGACCCCAAGAAGAACATGGCCATCCCAAAGCCACGTTAGCTCCACCATCTTGCTTGTTATTTATTCTTTTTTTTTCTTTCTTTCATCCTCTTCCTCCTTCCTGTTTTTTTTACGAAATGAAAAAAGAATAATGAAAAAAGAATAAAGGGTCGCCCCGTCATCGTTGGTGGGCGCGTGCTGGCGTTTATTTGATGTCTTCGGCGCGGAAGAGGAGGGGCGGGTGTTCGATGAGGCCCTTGCTGGGGATGATCTTGAGTTCCGGGTAGGTGCCCGCCTTCTCCGGCGCGACTGCAGTCGAGCTGCCCCCGGCGGCGGCAGCGGCGGCGCGTCGGGCGTAGTACTGGATCGTCTCCCGCAGCACCGCGTGCGTGCCGCACACCGCCTTCTCGCAGGCCAGCACAAAGTCGTCCGGGTGCCTGATGTGCCACGCCAGCAGCAACTGCCCACACCACGTCGCACACGCACACGCAAAGTCAAGTCCCCGTGTGTCGTGTGTGTCGTGTGGTGTGTGTCGTGTGGTGTGTGTCGTGTGCGTGTCACGGTGCGTACGGCAGCGAAGAGATCGCCGGTGCCGGTGAAGTAGCCCTCGAGGGCGGGCATGCGGATGCGGAAACGACGGGCCGGGCCACCGTCGGCGTGGGCCAGCTTGTGGGAGGCCAGGAGGGCCAGCTCGCCGGGCACGCCGTACAGGTCGGTGCTGGTGATCACCACCGCGCGCACGCCCTTGCTGTGCAGCTTCTCCATCGCCTCAACCGCCTCGGTCTCATTGGTGATCTTCATACCAGCCAGGAGCCTGTGTCGTGTCGTTGGTCGTGTCGTTGGTCGTGTCGTTGGTCGTGTCGTGTCGTGTCGTGTCGTGTCGTGTCGTGTCGTGTCGTGTCGTGTCGTGTCGTGTCTGCGGTCAGCCAACTGTGCGTGTCGCGTGATCAGGGTTGTGTGCGTACTCGGCTTCGAAGTGGTTGGGCGTGACGATGTGGGCCAGTGGAACCAGTACATCGGCGTAGATGCCCACCACTTCCTCCGCCACGTACAGCTTTCCGTTGTCGCCCATCACCGGATCGCACACTTTGTAGCGCGCACACGCACACGCACACGCACACGCACAACACCGCACACGGCAAAAGAAAAGAAAAGAAAGAAAAGTGAGTGAAGGAATGGAAAGGCGAAAGGCGAGTGGACGGGGGCACGGGGTTACGGTAGACGGCGTCGGGGCGGTGGCGGGTGGTGGTCTGCACGACTCGCTCCAGGGCGTGCAGGAGGTCTGCGCGGCCGGCGTAGCCCGTCAATATATGTGTGTGGCCCGCCAGTCCGTTGCGCTCCATCCCCTGCGTTGATGATGGCAATCCGCACGATGAGTGTATGTGGGAAAACACGCACACACGCATCGCACACGCACGCACGCGATCGCACACGCCCGACCGCACATCACCGCACACGCGGAAGAGAAGAGACGCGACCTCCATCAGCCGAGAGAGCTGCTCGCCGGTGAGCCGCTCGCCCTCCCACGACGGGTAGCCTGATGGTGGTTGCCAAGGAGTAGAGTAAGCATGACAAATTATAAATGATGATTAAATCAAAGATTATTATATAAAGATTATTAGCATATTAATGGCTATAATACGAAGTGCAGGATAATTTTACCTTTTGATTTATTTTATTTAATTATTTTACAAAGCAAATTCCAGAAAATCGGTAAAATCGGAAATCGGGAAAGTGAACACTGATGAAGAAAGAAGGGAGAGGAGAGACGAGGCTGCAGCCATAACACGTCGTGGTAAGCAGTACCGGTGTGGTTGGAGAACTGGCACGTGTTGATGGCATCGGTCTCGATGCCCAGGAGTTGGAGCGGAAACACTGCACTCCTGTTGCCCACATAGCCCGCCACCACATGCGACTGGATCGAAAGCACCCGCGCTTCGATCTCCAGCACCTCCACGCCCGAGTCCACCTCCCGTGTCGTCTGCATCGATGCCTCTCGAGAGCAAAACAAGATAATCAAAAAAGGATGAATAAAATAAAATGATAGAAATGTGGAACAATTAAAAAAAGAAAAAAGAAAATTGGTAAAAAATAACTCCAATGCAGAGGGCAAGCGCCACGACGCTGCTGTGGCACTTGGCCGCCTGGGCAGCCTGTGCCTACTTCCTGTGGCGCGCTGAGCAGCTCTTCGGCAGTCCCCACGCCAACACCCTCGCCTTTGGCGGCCGGTACGTGCCAACCTACCCCCCCCCTTGCTCTCTGTAGGGTCACCACCCACCCCGCGTTCCCTGTGTTGTGTGGGGTGTGCGCACGCACACGGGTGCACACACAGGTATGCCTTCCTGACGCAGCTGACGCACACGGCGCTGGCGGGCTACTTCACCTTCCTGGTCGTCTACGACCTCTACCACCTGATCGCCACTACTCCAACACCACCACCTTCATCATCAGCCAAGGCGCGAAAGAAGAACCCCGAGCCGACGTCGAGCTCGACGGCCAAGCGCCTGAATGCGCTCAATGACTACCTCTTCGTGCTCCTCTTCGTGTTCACGTCGCTCGTGGGGCTCATGTTCTGGGGCCTCTTCTTCTACGACCAGGAGCTCATCTTGCCGCGTAGCGTCCAGCACTACTACCCGCAGGACCTCAACTACTTCCAGCACGGCGCCGTGATGCTGCTCATGTGGCTCGAGGCCGTCGTGTGCCGCCGGGCGCACCGCAACCGCAGCGCCGCGGCCGAGCTGGCCCTGGTGCTGGCCTTCGGGCTGCTCTACCTGGTCTGGACCTTTGCGCTGGTGCGGCTCAACGGCGGCCAGTGGCCCTACGCCTTCCAGCGCGACATGGACCTGCGGGGCCACGCCGCGTTCAACCTGGTCGGTGCCGGCGTCATCGTAGTCGCCTTCGCCCTGGCTCGCGGCGTGCGCGCCCTTCTCAACCCGAACCCGCGCGCCACCGGCGCCGCACCTCACGTGGGCAAGAAGAGGGCGAACCCAAAGAAGAAGCAGACCTGAGTCTTCTTCTACTTCGGGAAAAAAAAAAAAAAGAGGTGCGCCGGGGCTTATGGGGCCAAGCGGGTGCATTCCTCTCTTCACTGAAGTGTGGGGGCACAACACTGCGGCCTCTTCCTGGGCTGTAGAGTCAATGGACGCGTCAACGAAGAAGGACCCACAACAGAACGCTGCGGCGGCCATTGCGTACCGCGAGGCATTGTCGTTGATCGCCGACGATGACAGCGGTCGCGGGACAGACGCACTCAACAAGGCGGCCGTGGAGCTCCTGTGCCAAGCGGTCCGGCTGGGCCACCACGACGCGCTCGAGCGCCTGGGCCTGATGCGCGACCAGCTGCGCCGGGCCGCCGAGCAGGGCCTCGCCGTCGCCCAGCTCGGTCTGGGCCACCTGTACGCGACAGGCCGTGGCGTGGAGGCCCAGAGCGAACAGGAGGCCGTGCGGTGGTGGCGCGCGGCCGCCGCCCAGGGCCTCGCCGCCGCGCAGACCCGCCTGGGCGCGTGCTACGCCGAGGGCCGAGGGGTGGAACGCGATGATGCCCAAGCCGCGGCCTGGTTGATCGAGGCGGCCAACCAGAGCGACGACGACGCGGTCGACAGAGTGATCCAGCTGTACCACGAGGGTCGGTGCAGATGGCCCTGGATGGAGGCCTGCAGCTTGTAGCGAGTGAGACTATGAACGAATACATAAAGCTGGAGTTGCTATTGGTGGTCCGCGTCGATGGTGGTGTGGTCGTCATCGACGATGCGGCGAATGGGGGTCCTGCGGCCGCGCCAGCCGAAGACGAATCGGTCCTCCTCCTCCTCCTCTTCGTCTCCCTCGATGCAGCCGCTCAGCTCCGAGGCCAAGGCGGAGCGCAGTAGACCCAGCCCGACCTACGACGATCGTTCATCAATCAGCCCTCCACCTCCAGACAGTGGGCAACACACAAAGTGGGCGTACCGGCGAAGGATGGTAGAGACGTCCGTTGTCCCTCATACACAGCTCTTTTGTAGCATTGCATCGCGTCACGTTCGGCGATCGGCGGGAGCTGAAGTGAGCGAGGCGCAGGCACACCAAGGGACAGGAGAGACGTGTGTTGTAAGAGAGTCACGCACCTGCGGGGTCGAAAGGGACGCTCAAGTCGTGCGCATAAAGCAATACGGATTCTCCTGGAGATCAGAAAAACAAAAGCAACGAGTGAGCGCGTGCGCGGTGTGTGGGTGTGTGGCGCGTGTTACGGAGCGTGTCGTGGTCACGGCGTGTCACCTGAGGGAAGCGTCTGCAGGCTGTGGAAGGCGATCGGCCGATCCGCTGCGCGCACGTAGTTGAGCTCCCGCCCGCAAGGCGACACGTACGGATAGACCGCCCCATGCCTGGCCACGTGCACCGACACACATATAAATATGTCTATTTTTTATATTCATTATAAATAGAATAAAGGAATTATTAAAATGGGTAATGAGTACCTTGCCCGGCCTGGGCTGGTCGGGGTGTTGAGCTGCAGCTGGCGCCAGAAGAAGTTGAGAAAGCGGCCGTCTCGCAGGAAGGCCGGGTCGTTCTGGCGCGGGAGGGTGGTGGCATCCTTGTCGATGCAGTACAGGTGCCCGCGTAGGTCGACCCAGTAGAAGTACTCACGAGGAGGGGCGGCTGCTGTGACCGCCACTCGGTCCGGAGCGGTTGTGGAAGAGCTCGACGGAGTGGTTGTGGCAGGCCCTGCCGCACCATGGTGGTGATGGTGGTGCACTCCACGAAGCCCCCTAGAGGCATGCACAGCGCCCCCTACCCACTGCGACCCAATGCCGCGAGGAGAGGGGCAGTGTCGCGCTACACGCATGGAAATAATAATAAAACACAACATCACCAAAAAAACAACGAAACGAAACTACGAAACAAAACGCGTTTCCAAATTACAAATAATATCTTTAAAAAGTGTTTATTGGCTCGCCACGAACTGTTTGGCGCTTGTGCGGCTGTTCTTCACCTCGCTGGCGATGCAGAAGGCCATGTCGAGGCTCTGCGTGTAGTTGAGGCGCGGGTCGCAGAAGCTCTGGTAGTTGGTGGACAGGTTGGTCGGGTTGAGTCCTGCAGAGCCACCCGTGCACTCGGTAACGTCGTCGCCTGCGGGATACGTGCGGCGTGTGCGTGTGCGGTGCGTGCGGCAATGGAGTGAGGTGCGATTTAAAGTGGAGTGGAAAGTGGCCGGGTACGGGTACCGGTGAGTTCGAGGTGAACGCCGCCCAATCGGCTGCCGTTCTCGGTGTGGATGCGGAAGACCTTGACCATCTCGCCCATCACCTTCTCGATGTTGCGGAACTTGATACCGTCGCTGGTGGACTCAGTGTTGCCATGACAAGGATCCGACACCCACAACTATCGCACCCAACACCCCACACACGACACACGCACACACACACACGCACACACACAACAACAATCTATGTTAGCGCTTGAGTCGCCCGATGATGATGACGATTGGGGCGCGCCGTACGACAGGGATGCCGGTGCTCTGGGCGGCCTTGATGTGGCCGGGCAGCTTTTGCTCCACGTTATCGATGCCGTACCTGGTAATCAGCGTGAGCTTGCCCGGTTCCTGCACCCAGCGAAGCGTTAGACGACACGACACACAACGCACGGCACGCACGACAACACGCGACACGCGACACAAGCGGGAAAGGCTTGCCTTGTTGGGGTTGAGGATCTGGATGAGCCTCACGAGCTCCTCGTCCGCGGTGGAAGGGCCGACCTTGACGCCGATCGGGTTGGCGATCCTAAGCCACAGAGAAGAGGAATGTTGAGAATGTGCGATTGTCATGCGTGTCGTGTCGTGTCGTTGGTCGTGTCGGTACCCGCGGAAGTATTCGATGTGGGCGCCGTCGATTTGGCGCGTTCTGTCGCCGATCCACAGGAAGTGGGCGCCCAGGTTGTAGTGCGAGTCCTTCACCAGCTTGGTCAGCGCGGCCTCGTAGTCCAGGATCAGGCCCTCGTGCGACGAGAACAGGTACACCCCGCGGAGCGACTCGCTGTCGGCGTGGATCGCCTGATAAAAGTCTGGACCAGGTAACACCAGGGCATCAGCTCACGTTTCTTCGTCGTGTGTCGTGTCGCGTGCGCGTGCGCGTGTGCGGCGTGTCGTGTGTGCGGCGTGTGCGTGCGGTTTGTGCGTACTCAGGCCGTCGAGGATCTTTTCGACGACGCCCTTGTACTTCTCCTTGGTCTCCGGTCGGAGGACATTGTCGAGATTCCACTCGGGCGCCGAGTGCAGATCCGACACGCCGCCCGTGATCTGCGCACAGAAAACCGAGTGTTCATCGTTCGAGCCCCCATTTTGAGCGCAGGTGGAACGCTGGCAGCCGTACCATCGCGCGCAGGTAGTTCGCAGTCGCCACCGAGTGGAAATACGCTTGCACCAATCTGATGACACGACACGCACACGACACACACGACACACACGACACACACGACACACACGACACACACGACACACACGACACACACGACACACACGACACAGGGTGAGGATTGGATGGGTTTCGGGTGAGGCGAGGACGGCACGGACGCACCGGTCGGGGTCGGGCTTGCGCTCGCTGATGTCGAAGCCGTTGATGCTGTCGCCCTTGTAGGAGGCCACCCGCTGCCCGTCGGGCGTCGTCTCCCAGTTGGACGTGCGCGGCTTGGCAAACTGACCGGCCATGCGTGCGATTCTGTGTCGTGTGTGTGCGGTGCGTGCGGTGCGTGCGGTGAGAAGGAAGGAAGGCGATCACTCAAGAAGACGAAGACGAAGAAGAAGAAGTACCGCACGACGGGCACGCGCGACTCCCAGATAATGATGAGCGACATCTGCAGGAGGATCTTGAACTTCTTTTCGATCGTCTCCTGGCAGCACTCGTCGAACCTCTCCGCGCAATCTCCTCCCTGCCCGCAAAATAAATTGAATTATTATATTTTAATTATTATATTTTAATTCAAAAACAAAAACAAATAAAATCAAAATCTAAAAAGATAAATGGAAAATGAAATTGGCGAGAGATGATGGGTACCTGAAGGAGGAACATCTTGCCCTCACAGGCTTGTGCGAGATAGGTTTTCAATTTCTCGATCTCCATCTGATGGACGATCGGAGGCAGCTTCTGCACCTTGGCCAGCGCCTTGGCGAGGGCCTCGTTGTCCTCATATTCGGGCTGCTGCTTGATGGGCAGCGCCTTCCAGCTCTCCGGCGTCCACGTCTGTCCCTCCTTTGCCTCCATCTATGCTATCTTTTAGTTCTGTGTGGTGGTCCCCTTCTTTTCCTCCCTTCGCTTCTCTCTCTCTCTGACGCTCCTCCGATCTCTGCGCAGCAAACGACACAAAGATTGACTAGCGCTTCGGCCGCTTTTCTTTTTTTACCGGAGGCGAAACGTCGAATCCCAATTTTCGCACCGCTCAGCCCCGCAAAGTCGCCCCGCCCCGAGCTGGGAGACTCGAGGGGCGACTGGCGGGCGAGCAGTGGTCCCAGGGGCGAATCGGTGCACTCCGCCTGCGTTCGCTGAAATCCGATGAGAGGAGTTACGGAAAGTCAAGTCGAAAAAGTAACGCCGTTAGCTTCGAACAGACGCCAACAACACGACATGGTCTGCAACATGATGGTAAACACTGCCTTGGTGGCGGTGGTTCTGGATCACGTTTGCGGTGTTAATTACAACGGGGAAGAGGTATGGCGGAGATGAATGTGGCTGAGCTGGGGATGAAGAAGACGAAGAGGACAGACGAGGAAGGCGGAATGGGAGGTGGCTGGCACGCGCGCACATACATACTAGTGCTTGGCGAGGATGGGGATCCTTTCGTCCTCGCGCTCGTCGTAGTGGTCGCCCTCGTCCTCCGAATCGGTAAAGTCGTCTTCGTGCACATCCTTCGACGTGTCGAAGAACCCAAAATTGCCCACTATCATCCCCGCTAACGCTTGTGTCGCTGTTATTCACACGACGCGACACGCACGACAAGACACACGACACGACACACGGTGAGCCTAGGCGTAGTAGCAGCAGCAGCAGCAACGTGAGGCGTGCGTACCTGGATGGTCTATATTTTCTAGATAGACCTTTATGGAGGTGGTCAGCGGCACGGAGAGGATGGCGCCCACGATGCCCCACACGGAGGCCCAGAAGAGCAGACAGATGATGACGGTGATGGGCGGCACCTCCATGTGGTCACCCAGGATCTGGGGCTCGATCACCTGACCGACGACGAACTGCAAAATAATAAATCATGAACACACCGTCAGTACAACGGGCAACACAACACACACGACACACGACACACGACACACGACACACGACACACAGACTGCCGCACGTGCAGGTAAGGGACGGGCGTACGTGGAGAGCGCAGAGGCAGAAACCGACGGCGAAGAACTTCCACACGGCAAAGTGCGGGTTGAGGATGACGAAGGGGAGCGGGAGGATGGTGGCCACGAAGGAACCCACGTTGGGGATAAAGTTGAGGACGAACGTGATGAGGCCGAAGAAGAGGACCAGATCGATATTGAACACGAACAGAATCACCGCCGTGCCCGCTCCCACGATCAGCGACACGATGCCGTGGATCTGGTGTGTGACGTGTGTGTGTCGTGTGTGAGCGTGGTACATGATACGACTAGGAGGCGGGGAGGGCATGTACGATGATGTAGGAACGGATCTGAACGTCGATCATGTCCTCGAGCTTGGACTTCTTCTGGTCGAGCGAGAGTTCGATGTCGAGCAGCATGTAGACAACGATGAGCAGGACGAGGATGATTTGGGGGATGAGATCGAACAGGCTTTGCAGGATCTCGAGAGCAAGCTCGCCCACGTTGATGTGGGGCAGGAGCTCGTAGATCTCCTCGCGCGTGTAGCCGAACTTCTCGGCGAACTGGAAGATGCCGCGGAAGGCGTGATTGAACTCTTCCACGTAGGTGTGGGCATCGCTGACGATGGACTCGATGGTGAAGCCGATGATGAGGATCAAAATGGCGAGGAAGAGGAAGATGACGAGAAGGCACACCAGGACGGCAGCCCAGCGCGGAATGCCGGTCTCTTGGCCATCGCGGCCACGTCGCACCGAGAGCGCTTTGATGAGAGGCGCGAAGATGAAGACGAGGAAGCGCGAGAACACGAGGGGCACGAGAATGAAGGAGAGCTCGATGAGCATCACCCCGAGAGCGTAAATGCCGATCATGAGGAGGGAAATGGTCGTGATGGCCTCGCGCATCTTCGCCCGCCGCTCTGCCGCGCGATAAGCTCTTCCCACAGCACGCTGTCGCCGTCGCTCCTCCCTCTCTTCGGCAGTCATCTGCGATAGATCGACCACTTCAGGCTCATCCCAGGCCCTAAAGCTCTTTGATTTGTTCTTCTCAATCGAGGCTTCAATTAGCTCCCTAATCGATGGTCCTTTGTTGGCTGGAATGCCGCCCGTTGGCATTGCCCCTGCCATGATGGTTCGATTATCTTCGGATGATTTTTTGCCAAAAGTGCTGTCGTGGCGGAGGAAACCAGAATTGGCCTGCCTCGTGATGGGGGGAGAGGAAGAGCTGAAGGGAGGAGGAGTGAAGAAGAAGATGAAAAGGTCCGAGCGCTGGAACACGCTTTGGCGCCAGACCGAAGTGACCCTCGGAAGGCTTCTGTGTTGCTGTGCAGAAGTCAAACCACACGGCCTTTTTCATTTACATTTCACTTGCATTTCTTCTTCTTCTCTCTGCTTTTCTTGTTTCCATTCCCCTCTCACTCTGAGTGCGCTATGGTGTGGCGCTTGAGCTTTGGCTTCAGCCCGGTCAGCAGTGTTGTCTTAGCCTCCATCCACTGGCCCAAGCTCATCAAAACAGTCATGGTTTGTGTGATATGGACTGCTCTCCTTCCATCTCGGCCTCACTGGTGTAATTCAAACAGCATGTCTTCTCCAGTGTAATGCAGGTGTTGGTGGCCTTCTTCTTTTCCTTCATGTTGCTGAACTGGACTGGAGGGTGAACGCAACTGTGGTGCGCCACAAAGTGACGTTCCTGTGTGCAAAACACACCGCACCTTTTTCCGCCACTACTTTTCGCTTTGTGTTTGCCGTAAGTTGCGCAAATTTTGAGCTTTTTCTTTTCGAAAGCAAAGAAGATCGCTGCCGGCAGATTTTAGGCACATTATCTTGTAATCTACACACAATCATGGCAAAGCATCATCCTGATCTCATCTTCTGCCGAAAGCAACCCGGAATCGCGATTGGGCGCCTGTGCGAGAAATGCGATGGTAAATGCGTAATCTGCGACAGCTACGTGCGACCATGCACGCTCGTGCGAGTTTGTGATGAATGTAACTACGGATCGTTCCAAGGACGCTGCGTAATCTGCGGTGCCCCTGGCATTTCTGATGCGTACTACTGCAAAGAGTGCACGATCCTCGAGAAAGATGTGCGCCCCCCCCCCAAACAAAATCTTGCTCGGCCTTCAGGGGTCTGATTGGTCTGATCTTCGTTTTTGACGCTGTGCAGAGGGAAGGGTGTCCGAAGATTGTGAACCTGGGCAGCTCCAAGACAGATCTGTTCTACGAGCGAAAGAAGTACGGCTTCAAGAAGCGCTGAGCGTCGCTCGAGTAACGGAACACAACCGAAGAAGGCCACAACGTACGCTTCAGCTTCTCCGATGCGATGTTGTCTTCCTTCCTGCTCTCTCAAGGCCGCACACGTTCACTATCAGAATAAAGACGGGCGACCGCTCCGCATGTGTAACTGCGTGTGGTGTTGGGTGGGAGCTGCGTGTGTTGTGTGCGTGTGCGTGTGTTGTGCTGTGTACGATACGACTGAGAACGCGGCAGGGTTGGGGTGGTTCATCTATTCACAAAGGCATCCGCCCCTCTTCCTCTTCCTCCTCTTTTTCGTCGTTCGTCTTCTTCTTCTTCACGCCTCCCGTTCGCCTTTACTTGCCGCCCTCGTCCTTCTTCTCGTCCTTCTTCTCCTGCTCCTGCTGGGCCTTCATCGAGGCGAGGATCTCCTGGATCTGGGGATCCGCGAGGTCCACGCCGGGCAGGGACCCGAGCACGTCGTTGAGGAACTGCGGGTCGGTCACCTCGCCGCCCGCCGGCGCCGCACCAGCGGGCGCCGCAGCGGGCGCGGGAGTGGTGGTCGTGGTCTCCGGCTTGGCGGCGGCCGGCTTCTCGGCCTCGGCCGCGGGAGCCTGGGAGTAGAAAGAACGAACGCCAGTCAGTCTCCCACACGGAGAACGAAAAGCGAAATGTTGGGGGGCGCACGGGGGTGGACTGGGAGGCCATGGAGAGGGCGATGGCCTCGGCGAGCATGGCCTCTTCATCGTCGTCGACGCCGCCGGCGTCGGTCATGACGGCCTCCTGCGTGGGCGCTGCGCCTTCGGCACCCTCGCCGCCGTCCTTCTGCTCTCGCTCGCGGCGACGCTTCTCCTCCTCCAACGAAGCGCGAATGGCCTGCGCAAGAGAGAGACGACGATGACGGTGAGGGGAAACCATCAGTTTTCGGTCGCCCAACAATGACCGCACGACGCGACGGAGGTACGCACCATGGCAAGTTCGGGGTCCTCGTTAGGGTCAATGCCGAAGAAGTCCTCACCACCCTCGCCGCCGGCAGCTCCGCCCTCGGCGCCAGCGGGCGCGGGCGCTCTGCCGGAGAGCGGCGAGGCACGAATGGCCTCGGTGAGGGTGCGGGTGCCGGGCTCGACCACGACGAGGTTGCTGTTGTCGTTGCTGTTGACCGCCTTCACGAAGGCCTCCAGCTTCTCTCGGTTCTCCTCGACCTCGCCGAAGCTGATGACGTCGACGGCGACGTTGTTCTTCTTGAGGGCCTGGCCCAGCTTGGTGAGCGCGGCGGTGTCGGCCTGGGCAGGGCTGCCGATGAAGAGAATCATCCTCTGGTGCTGGTTCTTGTTCTGCCTGTGCTTCAGCGCCAACTGTGTGCATGGCCCAGAGTGTGAATACAGGGCGGCAATCATGCAGCGCAGCTGAACGACTGAGGGCGAGAATATATATAACCTAAGAGGGAAAGATGGGAGGGGGTACCTGTGCTACTTGCACGCTAGTCATGAGGTCAATCTTGCCTTGAACCTGCACTGAGTGCAGGGCGGTCAGGACCTTGCCGATGTCAGGGCCAGGGGTCACCAAGACCTCGGGTCTGTGAAGTGGCAGATTCGATTATGAGCCTTGGCTGCCGAGCGATCGCAGTGCCACATGGCGATGGATGGATAAGTACGTACCCCTTAGCCATTTTGAGCACGCCCACGGTGTTTTCTGGATTGGATTGAAACTTCCATCCCATCACGACGTTCACCGCGTCGATCTGTGCCTCCATCCGCGAGGGGAAGTAGTCTCCATTCCTCATCCATTCAGAGTTGTCCAAGCTGCACCCAGACCAAACAAAATCAATTTACACTCCATCAAGCTGGTACGCAGAGATCCTGGCGCACCACAGAAAGCCAGGCGTACCAAATGATCGTCGATTCCAAAACCATTGTGTATATCTCTCTCTCGACGCTCAAGCTTTATGTCTTTTGAATCAATCCCTGCTGCTGGCTTGTTTCGCCACCACACTGCCTGCTGGCGTTTTTATGGCTGACGTGGATATTCTTTTCCAGATGATTTCTTAGCTGACGTGGCACGACGTGGCATTCAGAAGAAAAGAAGAAACAAAACAAAAGACTTTTTGTCAACCGCGGCGGAGGTGGTCAGGAAGAAGAAGAACGTGAGATAAAGAGAAGAGGAGGCGAACATACATCGCGATTATTACCAACAGAACTCGGGATGCAATTGGCAGGAGTCACAGGGGAGGGCGTGAAGATTTACAACGTCTCCGCCGGTAAATCCCTTCCGGAATGGCTGGCAGAAAAGAAGAAGGCTGCTCTTCGGTATGGCCTCCCCTTCATTTCGTCAAATCTTCCCATTTTTTGAGATTAAATGTTTGGCTTGATGCTTCGATCGGGTTGCGATTTTGTGGCAATCGAGATTGCCGTGTGGTTTGATTCGAGCGATTCTGCATTCAATCGCTGGCTTGCTGATTATTGCATGGCTTGGCTTTGCAGATACGATGGCGACTATAGGCGACGGCTGGAGCTCATCCAGGACACAAAGTTCCCCGTGGCCTGCCAGCGCGTGAAGACGTCGCGCGATGGCCGGTTCTTGTTCGCCACCGGCACCTACCCGCCGCAGATCAAGGTGTACGAGCTGTCGCAGCTCTCCATGAAGTTCGAACGCCACCTCGACGCACAGATTGTCCAGTTCCAGGCATGTGTCATCCACTCCTTTCCTTCTTTTCCAATGCCACACGCACCACCGCACACGCACACCCCACACGTAGCACACCACACGCAACGCTGATGATTGTTTGTTTTGTCTTTGCTTGCTTGCAGGCGCTGGGCGACGACTTTGACAAACTCGTGTTCCTGCGGGCGGATCGATCGATTGAGTTCCACGCGCGCTACGGTCGCTACTTTGTCACCCGAATCCCCAAGTTCGGGCGCGACATGGCCTACCACTTTCCCTCGTGCGACCTGCTCGCCGTGGGCTCCTCGCGCGAAATCTACAGACTCAACCTCGAGCAGGTGCCCCTCCCTTTCTTTCCCATTCTTCCTGGCTCGCCACTCAAATGACGCTCCGCACGCGCACAACCGCACACGCACCACCGCACACGCACGCGCACGCGCAGGGCCGCTTTCTCTCGCCGATGGTCGCGCAATCGTCGTCACTGAACGTGGTGGGCGTGTCGCCCCTGCACGGCCTCCTGGGCGTCGGCGGTGTGGAGGTACGGCCGAAGAAGCGCGACCACACTCCTCTTTTGGTTGGCTTCGAACCAACGTGGAGCCATTTTCATTGACTTGGTGATGCGTGGCCCGCGCCATGTCCAGGGCCTGGTGGAGTTTTTCGATCCGAGACAGAAGCAGGCCGCCGGCAAGGTGAGTACCGCGGCGGGCCTGATGGACGCAAACGCAGAGACCGCCGGCGCGGGCGAGCGCGGGTCGGAAGTGACCGCCCTCCGCTACAACGACGACGATCCGCTTCAGCTGGTAATCCCCCTCCCCTCTCCCCGCGTGTCGTGTGTGTCGTGGCGTTGGGAGTCATTGTGGGTCTAAGGCACGCGTGGAATGTTTCCCAGGCGGTCGGCACCGGGTCGGGCCATGTGATGCTCTACGACCTCCGGTCCTCGCGACCGATGATGGTGAAGGACCACATGTACCGGGTGCCCATCATGGACATCAAGTACCACCGCTCGCCGCTCTCCTCGTCGCCGCTGATCCTCTCCACCGACCAGAAGATTCTCAAGATCTGGCACCCCGACACGGGCAGGAATTTCGCCAACATCGAACCCGGTATGCGCGCACACACATTCCTCACGTAGATAGGGACCACTTGTGCTGACGTCAGCGCCACCATTACGCCGCGCAGGGTCGGAGTTGAACGACGCGTGCGTGATCAAGGGCACCGGGTTGATCTTCTTGGCCGGCGAGCAGAGCAAGATCAGCTCCTACTTCATCCCGTCGCTGGGACCGGCGCCGCAGTGGTGCTCCTTCCTGGACAACCTCACCGAGGAGCTCGAGGAGGACTCGACGCCCATGATCTACGACGACTACAAGTTCATCACCATGGCCGACATCCAGCAGCTCGGCGCCACCAACCTCATCGGCACAAGCTACCTCCGTGCCTACATGCACGGTTTCTTCATCGGTGCGTGCGACACACACGACACACACGACACACACACGGCACACCGGTGGAATCTGACTTCGAGTGTGTTGTACAGATCTGCGGCTGTACAACAAGATGAAGGCCGCCGCGGATCCGTTCGCCTACGACCGATACCGCAAGGAGCGCGTTACCGCTCTGCGCGAGGAGGCCGCCTCCAGCCGCATCCGCGCGACCAAGAAGAAGGTGGTCAAGCGCTCCGACCTCCAGCCGGCGCTCGAGGCCGCCGCCGCCGACTCGCGATTCGGCGACCTGCTCACCGACCCCGCCTTCTCCATCGACACACGCTCCGAGACCTTCAAGCGCCTCAACCCTATGGGCGTTCGCACCACACCCAAGGTAACGCATGCCCAACACACCACCCACACGACACACGCACACGGAGAACACGTGCACATGACACGACGTGCGACTTCTACTCACGCGGTGACCACTTTTCTTTAATAGACTGCGGAGGCGGCGTTCGACCACTTCGAGAAGGTGCAGCTGGAGGGAGAGGAGGCGGAGGAAGAGGAAGGGGAGGAGGAGGAGGAGGCCGTGGCTTTGCCCTCGAAGAAGACGAAGGGGCAGAAGAAGACCAAGGGTGGACCTGCCCTCTACGAGCTTTCGGGCGACAAGGAGGCCGCCATTTCGATTACCGCCACCGCCTCATCAGGTTCGCCGCGCACGCACTTCTTCTGCGCGCCAAGGCCCTCGCTTGCTAACCTATGACACACACACACACACACACACAGGCAAGCGAAAGAGGGAGAAGCAGTCGCTGGAGGAGCGACTCAAGAGCGTGCCCACGACGACCGACGGCCTGAGGAGGCACACCGACGGCGCGATGCAACTGACCTTCGTGCCCAAGACCTCCTCGAAGAAGCACAAGGTTACCTTCCATCCATCATCACCATCTCGCGACGCACCGTCTCGCGTGTGCCTGTGCTGACGTGTCGCATGTCGTCGTGTGTCGTGTCATGCGCTGCAGGGAGGGCCCAACAAGAGACCAGAGGCTGGCGGCCCGAGCCAGGACGGACGTCAGCGGAGGAGTGCGGGCAGGCTGGGCAAATAAATAATATCAGAGAGCTTTTTCGTCGACAGAAATAGTTTGGAAAATGAATAATAATTAATTTTTTTGCGCATTCGGATTGCTCAATTGACGAAGATGGAGATCGAGGGCCAGCGTTCCGCGAAGAGGAAGAGGGTGGAGGAGAACGTGGAGGAGGAACACACTGCAGCTGCTACAGATGAGACACAAAAAGCACAAAATGGCGAAGCCACATCGAATGAACCACTGCTGCTCGATGTGCTGCCCTACGTTGATCCTTACAGCGAAGAGGAAAAGCAGGCGGCACTTCGATTGATCCAAGAGGAGATGGCAACCTTCCAGCCCCCGGACTACCTCGCAACTACCCTCCCGCCCCCGCCTCTCCCCTCATTCCTCGGCGGCACCGAGGCCCTCTTTCAGGCCGAGATGGAGCGCGTTGGCGCCGGCAAGCCGCCCGTTGGTGGCTTTGATGCTACACGGTACCCATTTCATAATTGGACCCAAAGATCTTTTTGCTTTTTAATTATGCCTGGCGCATCTTGATCCCCCCGCTCGCAACATGACGATTGCTCTTTTCCATCTTTTTTAACGTGTTGCAACAAACTAATGATTGTTTGGTGATCGCGATCGATGGAAGGTATGCGCTGCGGCGTCCACAGGGAGCGGAGGAGAAGGACCCTGAGGCCTGGGACAAAGCCATAGACCAGGCCCAGATGGTGCTGCAGCATCAGCACGCGCGACTGGCCAACCTTCGTCTGCTCGAACAATTCGGTCCCGGCGCCTGGCTCACCAACAACCAGCGCCTCCAGTCCGTTCAGAAACAGTTAATACCTCTCTTTCTCTGTGTGCTATGTTGTTGTTGTTGTGCCCCTCTCAGTGAACCCATGAATGCCCGTGTGGCCAGCCGTAACACTGACGGACACCATGGTGTGGCTTATGATGATGACGACGATGATGATCATTATCATTATAATAGGTTGGATGACGAGCTTCGCGCGGTGCGGGCTCAGATCGAGGAGCTCAACCGGAAGAGGCTCGAGGAGCAGCAGACTGCCGGTGTCAGACTCTATCGTTCTCAGGTCCGTTCCTGGCACTATCGTCGCCTTGATCGTGACCTTCCCTGTTGGCCCGGGGGACCTCACACATCGCACACATTGCACACAGACCGAGTGGGCGGAGCTGGTGCAGAAGAACATGCAGCTCGGTGCCGCTTGCCTTCAGCTCGAGCACAGCTTGCCATCCCGACCCACGTACGTGCCGGGGCTCTTCTTTCCCTTTCCCTTTCTCCATTCCCCCGCTCCGCCCAAACGATGGTGGTAGAGCACGTCCGTTGAAAGCTCACGTCACGATGGTGGCTCTCGGGCGGTGTGTGTGTGTGTGTGTGTGTGTGGCACAGACCAACGGACGAGGACGGAGGTGCCATGTGAGTCGTGAGTGTGGGAAGCTTCCCACACGTTCGTTTGTAATGCCCGTCACTGCCCCCTCTTTCCTCTATCTCTTGTCTTTTGCCAGTCAATCGAACCGACCGCAACCAGGGTCCTCCGAGGAAGCAGCTTTTCGCCCCCCCCCCCATTGCAGCCGCAGCACACGCACACATGACCGCACACATCACACACGAGCGTTTATTGTCGACTTGGGCGCACGTTTTATTTTTTGGTAATTTACGGCGGAGCGCAAGTGGGGCCGAGAAACCGAACGTTGCGCGATCTGATCTGATTGAAGGCAAAAAACAAAACCAAAACCAGGTGAGAATGCAACACGGCGGTGCCCATATGGCTCCTCATGGCGGGGGCGCGGGTGGAGGCCCGCCTCAGGAGCCCGTGGCAATGCGAGACGAATGGGAGCGGCTGCGACGCCTCGGCCGAACGCGATCACATTCCTATCCCGACCGGCCATCTGGCACCGCCTCTACATCTGCGCCATCTCCTGCAGGCTCTCCCTCGCCTGCTAGCCCCGCGGCATCAAATGCCGGCCCGGCCCACATGCTGGCACACAATTCGGGGTTTTCGGGGGCGGGGCCGATTCTGGCGGGATGGAGGTAGAGGGCAACAATTCGATCCCCGCATCGCATCGCGGTCATGCCGTCCACTCGCCCCAGCTTCAACAACACCATCAACATCAACAGCAACCCCAGCAGCAGCAGCAGCAATCTCCACAGTACTTGCAACCGACGAGTAGCGGCGGCGGAAGCTGGCGCGAGGCCTCGCCCTCCGCCGCAGCCCTGGCCGACCTCGACGGCCAGGGTCCGGGCCGACGACTGGTGCGCGGCCGAAGGCGGGCCGGCAGCGAAGCGTCGGCCTTCCCCCCAGTGCCCGTGGCAGCCGCTGGTACCCATCCCTCCCAGGCCGGCGCGGCCATGGCGTCGTCCTCCTCCACCTCCACCTCGATGTCTTCCCTCAGCGACAGCGGCGAGCAGCGAGCTCAGCGATCGTCGCTGTCGACGCCGCCTCTGCACTACCACCACCAGCAGCGCACGTCGTCGATGGCCCAGCAGCAGCACCACCACACCCACTCGTCGCCGCTCGCGCAGCACCAGCTGACGTCGGCCCAGTACCACGACGAGCTCGAGCGCCTCCACTCGCCGCTACTCGGCGACGCGCCCCAGCAGCACCCCGGCGGGCTCCAGCTGCCGCTCGGCATTCCCGCGCCGCTTTCACAGCAGCAGCAGCAGCAGCAGCAGATGATGCACCACCACCACCATCAGCAGCAGACGCAGCAACAGCAGCACTATGGCCAAGCGCAGCGCCAGAACAGCGGAATCGTTCCTCAACAGCACCACCACCATCACCAACAGCAGCAGCAACAACACTATGGGGCGCAGCAGCAGCTGCAGGCCGTGAAGCAGCCACCGTTCGGTGAGCAGGACATGGACGAGGACCAGCTCGGCGGCGAGAAGGAGGAGAACGTCAAGCGCGAGGGCGGACTGCGCGAGCCCACCGGCACCACGTGCCCCGAGTTCAGCTTCAACCTGCAGGGCCTCTACCCCGCCGAGCTGCGCGAGGACGGCGTGCGATTCTCGGTCATGTACCAGGTACGCTTTGCTGCTGCTGCTGCTGCCATCGCGCGTGCTTCTCTAAACGCAGAGCGTTGTGTGTGTGTGTGTGTGTGTCGTGTGTGTCGTGCGTGGGTGTTGTGCGCTTTGTTGGTCAGGTGCACTATGTGCGTATTTTCGAGGAGGCCGACGCGGTGCGGCTGGATGGCGTGCGCGAGGCGGTGACGAGCTTTTGGCCCAAGACGCGTCGCTTCTTCAGCCTCTTCCAGTCGCCCATCATCGTGCACCAAATCGTCAACATCGACTACATGCTCTACGACGTACGCACTTGTTTTTATTCTTTTATTTTATTTATAATTTTATTTCTTTTTCCCTGATTGTTGGTTTTATTTAAAATGTTTTTTTCCACATATCGCAGGCACTGGTCAACATGCTCGTTCCGGATCCCTTCCGATGCGTGGCACCCGAAGTGTCGTCTGCGATCATCGTACGTTTGCCCTCCCTCCCTCCAGCGAAGCGAATTTTTACACACAGTCCGCGGTCGGACTTAGCAACACACCAAGGCTGACTCGTCTTCCTTTCGCGCCGTCAGGAATTGTCGCGACAGTTCCCCGCTTGGCTTCACAACGCCATTCAGTTCGCCATACCACTGGCCCTCACCGGTACCGTCGTGTGTCGTTGGTGGTGTCGTGTCGTGTCGTGTGCCGTGCGGTTTCTGACCTTGACATTGAATCTCTCTCTCGTGTTGCTGCAGACGCCAAGATCAGGGCGGTGAAATACTTTTGTAAGACGCTGCACAAGCGCGCGATGATAAGCAACCTCGGTGGCCGCTTGACCAACCATCTCAACGGCCTCCACCTGACGCCCGAGAAGCGTCAGCGATGGAGCTCTCAGCTCCAACAGCAACAGCAACACGTGCGCTCCCCTCGCCAGCCTCCACCTAACGACTTTTGTTGTTTGTGAATTTTGAATTTCTTATTCGTTGTTCATTTAATTATTTTAGTTTAATTTTTGATATATTTATATTGATTTTTGGGCCTTATTTTGTGCAGGGCACTCACGAGGATAGTGCCGACATGTCCTCCCTCTCGCGTCGACGCATGCTCCAAGATTGGTTCGCCGAAACACACCACGACACACGACACACGACACACGACACACGACACACGACACACGACACACGACACACGACACACACCATACGACAAACACGACACGCTTCACCGCACACACACAAACACACCGCGCGACACACGACGCCTCTGTGTCTGACCTCTGGCTGTCCCGTGGACAGGATGGGTCTTGATTTCGCGTTCATCGCGGCGCAGACGTCGCTCTTCGATACGCCCGACCGACCCTACTCGGTTCCCCTGCCCTCCACCCTGCTGCAGGACATCACGCAACTGCTGGCCCACGAGGCCGGCGTCGAGCAGTGGTCCGAGTGGTTGGTATGATGCGCTCCTCCGCTCCGTGTGTGTCGTGTGGTTGGGCATGTGTCGTTGTGTGTCGTCGTGTGTGTGTCTCACAACCGATTCGTGGTCGCGACGCGCAGCACGGGTCGATCTTGGCCAACCACATCTTTGCGGGCGAGCGCAAGGAGAGCAGCGCCAAGGCGCAGGGCGACCTCATCCACGATTTTGTCCTCAAGTGGTCCTTCTTCAGCGCCAACGTCCAGCAGGAGCTCACCTCCATGCGGGCCGAAACCCTCAAGTACTCCCGCCCCAACCCCCCCCCCCTTTTCCATCACCCCCTTCACGCCATGGACCCACTAACCGCACACGCACGCACCGCACACGCACGCACGCACCGCACGCATTGCACATATGCGCACGGCAGGATGTTCCGATTGCTGTTCGAGTGGGTGGAGGCGGTGCTCAACCACCACATGGAGCTGTCGTGGAAGAACCGCGGGCCGGCGGACGCCATGTCGGCCATGAGCCACCAGGCGATGGCCCCCTCCGGCGGGCCTCCGCAGTCGGTCGTCGGCAGCCCCTCGCTCATGCGACGACGCCCCTCGCCGCCGGACATGACCGGCGCCAGCGGCAGCGCCGACCACTTTCACACCGTCGGCGCGGCGCCGCCCGCCGCGCAGCACCCCTACGGCGCATCGCCGTTCTCGTCGCCCGCGGCCTCGCCCGTCATGTCGTCGATGCCGGGGTCGCCCCTCCAGTCGCGAACCGCGGCCGGCGGCCCCGCCGGGGTGGTGGCTGGCGGTGGCGGCGTCAGTGGCGCTGAGTCACCCCAGGCCATGCAGAGCCGGCTCTACATGCAATCGCTGCACAACCAGCAGCAGAAGCAGAACGCGGCGCTGGCCGCCCAGCAGCAGCAGTCGGTCGCCTACCAGCAGATGGGATTCCCCGTCGGGCCGCAGCAGGGCGCCCAGCCGGGCTTTTGGGTTCGTCTCGCTCGCCCTCTGCCTCGCCCTCTATCGCTCTGTGGCTGACACGATACGACCAACGATACGACCAACGACACGACCAACGACACGACACGACACGACACGACACACAACGACACGACCAACGACACACATGCACGCACACTAGCCACAGCAGGGCTTTGCGCCGATGGCCGGGCCGGGCGGGGGGTATTACGTGCCCGCCAACGCGGCGCCCCAGTATGGCTATCTCCCCAAGGAGAGCACCCAGGCCCTGAAGCAGCAGGTAACCCCCCCCCAACGCGCCCCCTCCCTCCAGCGCGTCACTTGCTCAACGTCGCGTCTTGTGTCGTGCGTGTCGCGTTGTGTGTCGCGTGTCGCGTGTCGCGTGTCGTGTGTTGCGATATAAGGTGGATTTCTTGAGCCACAAGATGTCGGAGGGAAGGGCGCCTCATACGCGCGCCCACCGCAAGCACTCGAATTCGTTCAACGCGGGGTCGCCGCCGGCCGGCGTGTCGTTCACGGTGACCCCACCCACCACGCCGCCGGCGCCGGGCCAGGGCCAGGGCCAGCAGGTGTCGGCCGCCCAGCCCTCGCGCGTCGGGTCGCACCCCATCCAACCCACCCAGCAGCAACAGCAGCAGATGCCCATGGCCGCCGTGCCCTATCCCCTCAAGGTACGTTCGCCCCAGCCGCCACCCATTGCGCACAACGTTGAGCTGAGACACGACACGCGCGACACGACACGACGCGACGTGACGCGACGAACACATGAATTGCAGGCGATCCAAACCCGGCCTCGGTCACTATCGCAGCCGGTGGGCCTGGCCCAGCCGGTGATGATGATGAACGGGCAGCCAGGCGGCGGCGTAATGCACCCGCCATCGATGGTGGCGACCACCCCGCAGCGGCCGGCCACGTTCGAAGACGCCAGCGGTGGCGGCGGCGGCGGCGGCGTCGGCGCCAGCGTGCCCGCGTCGGGCTATCGACCTCTCATCCCTTCGCCCCTCGCGCAGCACTCCCTCTCCCCGCGCTCTCCGCAGGGCCAGCAGCCCAACACCCTCCCTCGTCAGCAGCCGCAGTCGCAGCCGCAACAGCAACACGGCGGCCAGGCACGCGTTGACACATTATTGTTTTGTTTGCGGCAGCCGCTCAAGAGCTCACGCGCAAACCGCACACGCACACGCACCACCGCACACAGCAGGGCGCACACATGCGCTCGAGCGGGGATTCGATGGACTATGCGGGTATGGATGGCAGCGGAGGCGGAGGCGAGGCGAGCTACGCGGCGATGATGGCCGCCACCGCTGGCGGCGGCTCCTCCACCATGGGCGGGCAACAGGGCAGCAACGCTTCACCACAGCAGATTCGTCGCACCCTCAGCAAGTGAGTGCTGTGTGTGTGCATTGGTGTGCTGTGTGTTGTCCACACGTTTTTGCCGCAAGTATACATATTGTACCAAAGCATTGTTGGGTTGTGGCCACTTTGGTGGTTGGGCTGATTGTGACTGTAACAACTCAACCAACAACATGGTGTCTGCAGGCCAAAAAAATAAATAAAATTGGCCAACCACAGCCGGAAAAATAGGGGTTCGTGAATTCTGAATTTTAGTGAGAGATGAGGATCACGGTGGTGGTCACCGACAGAGGCAGGAAGGACCCGGGTAGCTCAATTGGCAGAGTGCCGCATCACATCTAATCGCGGAGGTTGGGAGTTCGACTCTCCTCCTGGCCCGTCTGTTTTGTTGCTTCCTTTCTTTCCCTTCCTCCGACCGACACACTTGCTGAAAAGGTGGAATCTTTATTGTTGTGGCTTGTTGGCTGTGCGTGTCACCTGCCTTCGGTGCAGAAGCTGGCTCGCAGCGGGCGGTGGTGCTGTGGTGGTGGTTGGCACGTACGCTTAGTTGTTCTACACACGCCACACGCCACACGCCACACGCCACACGCCACACGCCACACGCCACACGCCACACGCCACACGCCACACGCCACACGCCACACGCCACACGCCACACGCCACACGCCACACGCCACACGCCACACGCCACACGCCACACGCCACACGCCACACATGGCGCGTTTTTACCCTTGCCATGGTTTGCCACCTGGCCGGGTACGCCTCAGACATCCACTTTCTGGTTTATTCATTTGGATGTTGAGCTCACTAGTCAGATTACAATTGGTTTGATGAGGGCAGCCTGCTTGCGCGACTTCTGGTGGTGGAGCAGCACTTCAGCAAAGGCAGTAAGGTCCAGCACCATCACTCCATCCCTGAGCGCCTGGCCCTCTGCCGAGGTGCCGCCCATCACGTAGAGTTGAGTGCCCACTAGCGTCGCGGTGTGTCCCGTTCGGGCGAGGGGCGCCTCTCCCAAGCACCTGGTCTGGTACCATGACATCGTCTCTGTGGCCCGCACACACCGCACTCAGCACACTCAGCCCATCGCACGCACCGCGCACCGCACAAGGAGTCGTACCGAGGTTGAGTAGGTTGAGGTGGTTGCTGGCCGTGGTCGCCCGCTCGCGCGAGCCGCCAAACACAAAGAGCCAGTGGCCCACCTTGGTGGTCGAGTAGCCATAGCCAGGGAGACCATGCGCTGAGGCCTGGGCCAGGGCTTCTGTTGGGCCTCCTCCGCACAGAATGATGTTGTGGCCCGCCGTGGTCACGGAGAGGTAGCCGCCACCAGACACCGACTCAGGCAGCGACACCTTCTGCCATGTAAGGGTCTGTTGCACGGTAGCAACGTACTGATATCAGAACTGATTGGCTTGACCCACATAAACATGCTCTACGTTTCGGCCTAAACCTACCTGGGTGTCGAGAACGTAGGTGTCCCTGCGTGGTGGCGGCACGCCATTGGCACCGCCAGATATGAATCGCGTTGCCACGTCGAGCCCTAGCCCTGGAGTGGTGTCGCGCGCTGGGCTCACCGTGCTCTCCTTAGGGGGCACATCGCCCAGCTGCACCTCCCGCGTCCACACCAGTCTTCCTGCAATTAAATGATCAGTTGACGATAAATCAAATACAGTTTTGATGGAGCCTAAGAGATGGTACGGGGGAGGCGCACGGGTGTCTAGGACGTGAAGGCTGCTGAAATGAGTGGGTCTGGCATTGCCAGCCAATCCGAACACGAACAGTCGGTGGCCGACGGCGCAGCAGGTGTGGTGTTCTTCTTCGGCGCCAGCGAGCGGCGACGGTCCAGTCGTCTGGGGCCGATGCCACAGGCCCGTGCGAGTGTTGAACGCCAGAAGCCTGTCGGCCGTCTCGGCACCCAGCAATACGTAGATCACGTGGCCCACGGCCGTGGCCGAGTGTCTAGTGGAGCGCCAGTTTAAGACTTTGGTTGCACTGTAACATCGCAAGCTAAAGCCAGTTCAACGCGTACCGAATAAGAGTCTGGGGAGTATCGACCAACGGGAGCCGTTCATCAGGCGGGGTGAGCTCGGCGGCATAGGGAGCCAAAGCCCTGGTCCACTCCAGTCCGCCTGATTCTCCGCCTGTTGAGGCAACGCCGATTGGTCCGCGGTTGAAAGACTTAGGAAGAAGGGGGGGGGCAGTACTGAGTATGCGGTAGCCCTGAGTTCGGTCCAGGAAGCAGTGCTCGAGAAAGAAGTCCTTCCAGCAGCACTTACGAGCGTAATCGCCCGGATGCTCCCTCCGCACTGAAGAACTGTCCCACGTCCAGCCCCAGAACCACCGCTCGTACACCTCCCGCCACAGCCCATCCTGCATTCCACGCGTTACACAGTTATCATTTCTGGTAAGCCAACATAGAGCCTTGATTCCTCCTTCATGCTACCCACCTCGTCCGCCAACTCACGCCATCGACGACACATCGTGGCAGCCGTCATCAGCTCGATAGGCCCAAGGTACTCGAATAGGCGACGAACCTGAACCTCCCAATCACTTGTGAGCACCAATCCCACAACCATCTCATTGTTCGGCTGACAGAGGGCGTCCATACCAGGGCTTGGGGCAAGGTGGAGTAGTCCTTGAGGGCGGTCGAGCCCAGCCAGCGGACGCTGAACTCGACCGACTTCATCCGCTGGTGCTTGTGGGCCTGGAAGATCATCTCGGTCACCTGCCAGTCACGCACGTCGTTCCACGTTCGCTCCCTTGACTTGCGCAGCTTGTCGTGGTGGTTGACCTGGGAATGATGATGATGACGTCAGCACATGGGGAAAGGTGTAGAAGTGGTCACGCACCCGCACAATAGCGGACTTCGCAAGATCGCCCGGTAGACGGTCATCGCTGGTGTTGCGCGGCATGACTCGGGCGGTAGCGCCGTCGGCCTGCTGCCAGCGCTCGGCCTTGGTCTTGTCGACCAGGGCGCCACGGGTGTCCACAATGCAGCTGCCGCCCATCACGGGCATGCCGAGCCTCGGGCTGCCCACACGCGGGCTCGACTTGCGCGGGCTGGTGCTGGCGCCGCGGTCGTCCGGGGTGGTGCGCAGGTGGCCCGGCTTGAAGATGGCCGGCAGGTGTGGCGGCACCACAGCCTGCCCAGGCCTCGCCTGCTCCACTTCTTGTTTGTCTTCGACTGCGACTGGGCTGTCAGCGACAGCGGCTGGCGAGCCTGTGATGCTCGGGGTCTCGGCTGATAGGGCTAGTGGCCGAGGGGGAGTCGAATCGCCCGCTGCGGGTGCGGGGGCGGACAGCCCTGCGGTGGTGATCTTGGTCGGCGAGTCCTTACGGCCGGACCACGGGGTGACCAAGCTGGGCGGAGCTGAGGGTGAGCGGTCCCGCGGGATGGTCTCCTCGGTCAACGCCCGTTCAGCCTCGGATCGGCGGTGGTCGCCCGGCCTCGTCCTGGCGTTGCCGATGGCCTTGGACTCGGGCGAAGACCGCTCCCCGACCGCCTCCCCGACCGCCCTCTTGGGCGAGCACTCCGTGGTCTCGGCCTTCCACCCCGAGCTCTCGGCTTGGGCGTCAGCTGCCGGCGATGCTGTGCAGGCCGCAGGGGAAAGGGTGCCGTCGGCCCCGACGCTGAACTCAGAGGGCTTCGATGTAACGGCTGGGAGTAGCGATAAGCAGTCAATATTGGCGGGAAGCCTCGGGACGTGGAGGTCCCTCTTCTCTCGGAATGCCTTGCCGCCAGATGGTAGGTCGATCCGCCTGCAGGAGGCCGACGACGTGCTGGCGGCCAGCAGCTTTCTCTGTTGGCGCCGCTCCTTCTTCAGTTTGGCTTCGGCTTCTTTCTCGTCATCTTGCACCTTCTTCTTCTCCTCTCGATCCCCGTCGTAATCCTTCCTCGTCTCCTTGTCCGTCGTCTTGGGGCGGTCGACATCTTGCCGGAAGCCTCCGCTCGTGTGCTGCCGCTTCTGCTTGGCCTCTCTCATCTCCGTAATCTCCTCTGGCCTTTTCATGGACTTTACGCTCTCGCTCTTGGCGATCCTCTTCGGGTCCTTCCTGTCAAGAGCGACTGCGGCCTCGCCTGAAGCGAGCGCCGCGCTGGCTCGGAGCTTGATCTCCGACTTGCAGCGCTGGCTGAGGCTCTTCGCTTGCGACTTGGCAGCCTCCTCGTCTTGGCCGACCGAATGGTCGTCCTCGTCCGGGTGGTGTTGGCCGTCGTGGTCCTTGTCGACATTCTTGGCATGCCGACGCTCGGCCGACCTGGACCTGCTGCCCGCGGGGGCATCCTTGACCTTGGTCTTGGGGCGGCTTTGGCGAGCGGACTTGGCCGAGCGGCTGAAGCGGTTTTTGTTCCCCATAGCGCGGTCTTCGCCGTAGACCCCCTCTGTCATGATCATGTCGTTTAGTTCGAGTCGAGTCGAAGGAAGGCCAGCGTGGTGCTCGTCGTGTTCCTTCTTGTGCCTCTGTTTCGTGCGATCCTTCTCTTTCTTCTCCTTCTCTTTGCTCTGCTTTCTCTTCTTCTCCTTGTCCACGGTCTGCACGTCGTGATGAGCCTCCGCACTGCCTGTAACGGTCGTGTTGATCCCTACTTGTGGGTTGTCGCCCACCATGTCGCCCTGTGCCGCTATCTCATAGACGAACAACGGCCGGTCGGCAGACATGGTCGCCCCACGGTTACGATGCCGGGGAGGGGTGCCCGCCTGGTCGTTATGGTACTCCAAGCTGGTCTTGGAAAGGACTGTTCGGGTGGTTATTGATGAGACGCTCATGGAGATCGGGTGTGCCGAAGTAGCGGGAGTAGTTGGAGTAGAAGAAGGAGTAGAAGAAGCCTTGGTATCGGCCAGCAGTCGCTTGTCCCCGTCGAGCCCCAGAGAGTCGGCCATGCTGGACCTCTTGTCCTCCCGTGGTTTGTGACGTCGAGTCGAGGACGAGCGTGCCCCCGCGAGAGCATGGGCTTTTCTCTCTCCTGTACCTGCCTTTCTTTCGCTCCTCCTCTTGCTGTCGGCCATTGTCGAGTACTCAAAAGCCTCTGCCAAGGCAATCAAGTGAGCCTTCTTTTTCTTTTGTTTTCTTGTTTTCACGGCACCGTTCGGCAAGCTTGCCTTATTTGCGTCAGAAAGAAAAGAAAAGGAAAACGAACTTTATGAGGCTCTCCTCATGTAGTGGTCCCGAACCCTCCCACGTCTCTCTCTCTCCCTCTAGAGCACTGCCACTTGCCGGCAAGGGGCGTGTTTAGTCACGTACGACCCCAGCGCGCGCCAATGCCTGTGGGGCGGGAGGAAAAGTTAACAGCTGTTTTGTTGCAGCCACTTGATTGTGGGTGAGGCCGTACCGATGGTTAGGGTTGCGCTCATGCCTGGCATGCTTGCCAACCACCAATGTGTCAACTTCATATCGTTCGCAAAGCTCGCACAGCAGTCTACGCTTGTCCACCGCCTCGCCAACCATGACCGTGTAGCGGCTCGGCTCCTGCATTGGTGTCCCTTCGTGAGCTGGCTGCACTGCCTTATAAAGTGATGTTGAACGTACCAGGACAGACTGGAGCTGGCGCGAGTAGGGAGTGATTATGTGGCAAGCCCACCGCCACAGCTCGTAGCGCAATCGGAGCTCCTCGGCCTCGTTGCGAGCGTAGCGACGGGGTATGGTCTTGTCCCGAATGACGACCACCATGATGTGGTCTTGGCTTGGGTCGACCAGCTCCAACGCCCGCTCCCAGCCGCGATGCGCGGCCTCAGAGCCATCGATCGCCACCAGCCATTGCTTGCCGCCAGTGATTGCCCTGGGCCTGTCCAGGTCTGTGCCCCTGTGGAGGCAGTTGTAGCTCACCATCTGCTTCCTCCACGTCGTCTGTTCCTCCGTCACTTGCCTGTCGCTGAGAAATGGACGGATCAGTTGCAAGGCAACATCAACTAATGTAACCACAATGAAACACCAACTCAGTGAGGCAGTACCAAAGGAGGTCAAGGCTGTCGATGAGGTAGGTCTCTGCCTGGGCCATGGTGCAGACTCGTGGATGCATTACCTTCTTCTTGTAGCTTGGCAGCAGTATTTGCGATTCAGCTGCTCCTGCGCTGTCGGAGTCGTAGTCATCGTCACTCCACTCGTCCTCACTGCTGTGGAGGAGACCTTCTTCACCCTCGTTGGTGCTCTTGCGGTGGTGCTTCTTCTCAGCAGGGTCGTCTTCCAGGTGGCCATAGCCAGCGCACGAGTTGAAACCGAGTTTGGCCCAGAAGGAATGCATGTGCGGGTGTTGTTGTGTGAGGTGCGGAGGGTAAGTTAGAGAGCAGTCTTTGGGCTCTTCTCCTTTTTGTGTTGCTTGCCCGGGTGCGGTGAGCCCGGTTCCTCACTTCGTGACCCTCGCTACCGAGCAACTCGCAACACTTTCCTAGAGACCCCGAACGAATCGCAATTCAGAAAATAAAAGTCTGATTAGCGAGTGGACCAAAGAGTTGCCAGGCGAACTGGTTGGCTGCACAGCGGCAAGAGAGGAAGTTGCAGTGTTCGGGGCACGGGCGACAACCACGTATCGCCGTTCGGCAATCCTTCTTCGTTCCCCTCTTCTCTTCTTGCCGACCATTTTGCCCACAAACACCTGTTTGGGCAGAAACATCATTCCCCACAGGACCGAATAACTTAAGAACACAGCATTGAGCAACACAGGTGATGAAGCTGCCTACCCCATGGGAGACGGGGATGATCGTCTTCCTATTCCTAGTCTTCCTCTCTCCCTCGGCCAGAGCCCAGAGCTGCGGCGATCTTTGCGCACACACGCCCAGCGGGGGCCTCTACACCCAGGCCATCTACATCGCGCAGGGGTTTCAAGTGACCCAGCCCAGCCGCATCACCGCCTTCACCGTCCAGCTCCAGAGCCCAAGTACTCTTCACCTTCACCTTCCCCCCTCACTTTCTCCTCTGGTCTACACACTCTCGTTCACCATTGCGCGTCGTGGGTCGGTTAACTGTTGCGTTGGCGGGCTGTGAGGGCGGTGATTGGTTCACGTTGTAGTTTGTCTGCAAATATTTGGAATTCTTACCACTGTGCAGCGGCCAACGGCACACAGACCCTCGTCTCTGCGGCCCTGCACGCGGACATGAATGGGACCCTGAGCAGCCAGCCCTCCGCACAGCTGGTCAATGCAGATTTCAACATCTCCAGCCCCGGGGTGGTCGGCCCGGGCACCACCCAGACCTACTACGCCACCGCCGGAAGTTCAGCGCCGCTACTCGACCCGGGCTTCTACTGGCTCAAGCTCACCCTGCCCTTCAACCTGATGGCCTGGCACCAGGCTAGCAACACCTACGTGCCCGACCTGACCGGCCCCATCAGGTACACCAAGTTCGTGTCGTCGGGCTCCCCCACAGACTGGGCCGTCCAATCGACCACGACCACTGCCTATCTGGTGCTCACCGGCTGTTACCAGCCTCTACCATCGCCTTCGCCCTCACCATCGCCGTCGCCCTACGCGAGCGCCGCCCCAGCGGTGCAGCTGCTGACCACGGACGTCAGCGCCAGCTTCGACGACCAGGCGCCAGCGGTGAATGTCTCGGCAACATCGGGCAGTCAGCCCGCCGTGGTCAGCTCCAGCTTCAAGGACATCGACATCAACGGCTCGACCCTGCCATCAGACGGTCTTGGTGGTGCGTTCTCTTCTACGACTGTGATAAATAGAGTATGTTGTTTTTTATTCTGATGGTGGGATCAGGCTACACGGTGGAGAGCTCGAACACGACCGGGGTCGGCGGTCAGGTGGAGACTACGACCTACGCGTACAGGGCGCAGATCGATGCCAGCACGACCATCGAGCAGTCGTTCACCTTCAGCAACACGCCCAAGCCCGGCGACTTCTTCGGCAGCGCCTACGTGCTCGCGGCCGGGTCGGTCAAGTGGTCAGTCAACCTTACGGCGGCCACCACTTCGGGCGCCGGCTCTTCCACCTCCGGAGGCGTGACCCTGCGCTACCTCCTCGCCGGGCTCCGTGCCAGCAACTCTAACTCGAGTTCCGCCAATGGGATCGTGCGGCTCACCGATTCGCCGAAGGCCAACATGACCACCTACTTCGTCCAGCTCTCGGCCAAGTCGGTGGCCAAGGTCGAGGTGTTCGATATCGCCTTCATCGACGGCGCCGGCTTCCAGTACATCACCCACGACATTCTTGCCATTCCTACAACTTCAGCCCCGGGCGTGGCGTTCGAGCTGGTGCTCCGCTTCCCCGGCTTCAACGAGTCGCTGCTCTACGACCCGAGCCTGGGCCTAGGCGTGCTGGTGGGCTCTTCGAACGGCGAATCGGGCGGCAGCGACAACAGCGCCCTGATCGTGGCGGTGGCCGTGGCGGTGCCATTGGCGGTCGCGGTGGTCGTCGTGGTCATCGCCGCCGCCATCGGCGTGGCCTGGTGGCGCAAGAGGCGTGCGCACGGCGAAGGCGTCGTCAACTTTGAGGGTGGCGACCACCGGACCCCAGACCCTTACCAATTGTGAACTGCGACCGAAAAACTGTAAACTGAGAAATGTACAAAATTAAGGGAAATGTAAGGGGAAATGCCTCGCATAATCCAAATTCCAGATCGTTGTAGTCTCGGCGAGACGAGAGGAGGCAAAGGTCACTCGAGAACTCGAGCTTGCTGCCCGGAGGATTCAACCACCCGGCCGTTCTCCGTCAGATTTCCCTTACGCCAAGAGATGTCGAGCGACAATGGAAGAGAAGACTCGGTTGTTGAAGCGGTGACAGCATGGCACGTCTTTCCCCAACCTCAGATCTATCTCCAGTACGGTAGGAAGATCGATGGAGCGTTTTCCTTTTGCATTTCTAAGCTCGCTACTTGCCGCTCTCCTTCAGGGGTACGGAGGGCTCGCTTGGCGACCGGCTGCGACACCGTGGGACGGGCGACGAGAAGGCCTACCTCATCAACGACGCCGAACAGCCCGCCGCTGAAGGCCACCAGGTCGTCGGCAAGCAGGGGTAGGTCGACGGCTCTGCGGCTTCTCTCCCTCTCTCTCTACCTCTTGTTTTCGCTGCGCTACTCACCCATCACCATCGGCCCCGTTCTACATCGCAGAGCTTTACAGGCGTCGGCGTCCATCATCAAGGCTGTGGTGGGAGCCGGCTCGTTCGCCCTCCCTTGGGCCTTCCTCCAGGCCGGCCTGTTCGGTGCGCCGCTCTCCCCTTCTGTGTGCCCCCCGGGGCAGGTGGATGAAGCTGACAATCGGTCGTGTTCTGTTGCATCGTGTGCGGTGGCGTCCGTGTGCGGTGGTACGTGTGTGCGGTGTAGGTGGAATGATTGGTATTTTGGTGTTGGCGATTCTCAGTTGCTATACGATCCGCATGCTCATCCAGTGCAAGCGTGAGCTCGTTGGTACGACTTGCAATTTGTGTTGAATGGCTCCTCCACTCTCCGGACAGTAACATCTCACATCTCAAATCCAAACACGCAACACGCACACGCCCTCACACACACAACACACGCAACGTGCACACCACCTACACGCACACACAGGCAAATCGGATCGATATGTCACGTACGTCGATATCGCCAGGGAGGTCTATGGTCGGGTGGTGGCGTGGACGCTCTACGCGGCCATCGTGATCACCTCCATCGGCGCCTGCTCCGCCTACCTCGTATTCTGGTACTACTCGTCTCGGCCCTCCGCCTGCCACCCTCTTTTCACTGAACCCGTGCCTTGCCCTTTTAGCGGCAACATGCTGGAGTCAGTGTCGCGAGGCAAGCTGGAGTCGATGTACTGGGTGTTCATCTTGGCCGGCCCGCTCATCCTGTTCACTTGGATCCGCTCCTTCCGCTACCTGGCCTTCACTTCCATCATCGGTATCGTCTGCGTCGCGTGTCATGTGTGTGTCGTGTGTGTGTCGTGTGTCGTGTGTGGTGATGCAGTGCTGAACAGTTTGTTGTGCTTCTCCACTCAACAGGCGATATTGCGCTGGTGTTGGCCATGATCACGATGTTCGTGGAGGGCTTCAAGGAGGAGAGTACGCAACGCACTCCTCCCACACGGCGGTGTGCCACGCAGCACAGATGTGCTCACACTCTCTGACGGTTTCTGCACTCTATGGTGGTTTCTCTGCAGGCGTGGAAAACCCGTTCGGTGGCGAGTATCCGCCGATTCAGTACCTGTCCTACCCCAAGTTCTTCGGCGCCGCGGCGTTCCTGTTCTGCGTGCACATGCTGGTATGCCAAACATTTCTTTTTACCTTTTCCTTTTTGTTTTCTTGAATGATCATTGACGCTCTACGTGCCGATCTTGATGACCACGCCCAGATGGTGCCCATCGAACAGTCCATGCACACGCCCAAGAACTTTGGCAAAGGTCTCTAATTCCTCAGTTTTCATCTCCCCTTGGGCTGCCGCTCAACCTTTTGTTTTTCCTCTGCGTGTGCGTGTGTGACAAACAGCGGTGTATGGCTCGTTTTTGGTGGTCACTGTGCTGAACCTGGTCTTCGCCGCCATCGGGTATGAAGCTTTTGACTATAAGTGCCGTGATTGCCATTCTCACACGATCTCGCACACACACACCACACACACACACACACACACACACACACACACACACACACACGATACCAGATACATGCTCTACAAGGGCGCAACCAAGGACATCATCATCAACAACCTCCCGGACAACGTGTTCGTCGACGTCGCACGTGTCGCCCTGGTGTTCGATCTGTTCTTCACGTTCATCGTAGTCATCGTGCCCGCTCGTGATATCATCGAGGTACTATCCGACTCCCACAACTCACACGGGGGCGCCCCACGCCAGAAAGACCTTTGTCTTCGACTAACTTGGCATGGACGACGAGCGCAGACGTCGCTGCTGACGCCCAACCAAAGGTGGAACACCATCAAGCGTTATGCCATTCGGTACGCTCAATCACCACCGCACATGCCACACCGCACACGCCACGCTGATCAGTCAGACTCGTCTTGTGTGTCGTGTGTCGTGTAGAACGGTCATGGTGGGCATCTGCGTGGGCATTGGCGTGGGGGTGAAGCAGTTCTCCGACCTCATCGGGTACACGACGCCCGCAGTGCAGTTTTTATTTCCTTTCAACACATTCACCATGACCGCGGCGCGGGCTTCACCTCCAGGCTGGTGTCGGGCCTCTCGCTGTCGTTCATGGCCTTCGTCCTGCCGCCCATGCTGCACATGAGGCTCTTCTGGGCCAGGCTCGACTGGGTACGTCGGCAAGTTGCCGTCCACCATAACCACAGCTTTACTAAGTGTATGGTGATGTGCTTGTCACTACGATTCCAGGTGTTGATTGGGGTGGACATCTTCCTGATCCTGTTCGGCATTGTCGCGGCCGTCACGACCACCACCGTCTCGGCCATCTCCATCGTCGGTGACTATTCCTAGTCGGCCCACCCACTTGTCTCGAATTTTATAATTTATAAAAAACATTATTAAGATTAATTTCTCACCATCATTTCAGTTATTAGCATTTCTTATCCTTTTCAAACTATTTGTATTTTAAAACTATTCTTGAAATAACTGACATGGACTGGGCGTACGAAGATGAGGGCGCCGGCGGTCTGTGGCCGGAGAGAGTAGAACGAAGCGAAGAAGAAGAAGGAGAAGAAGACGAGGGTGTTGAGTTGGGCGAATTCTTTGGCGACGGAGTAGCCATGATGCCGGTGGAGGTGGCGCTCCAGGTCTTCGAGTGGCTCGACCCGGCGTCGCTCGCGCGGGCCGAGCTGGTGTGCCGCCAGTGGCGGGCCACCATCGGACCGGCCTCGCCTCACCTCCCCTTCCTCTGGCGCGTGGTACGCTCCATTTTCATGTTATATTTAAAGTTAATAACGTATTTATTTAAACAAATAACAAGCAAATAAATAATAAATGGGAACAGGTGCACGAGGCCCATTTTGGCAGTGGCGCGGCTGCAGCGCATCGTCAGCCAGAAGCGGACGGGGCAGGACCCAGGAAAAAGGAAACAAACAAGAAGAAGGAATCTGAAGAACTCGACTGGCGTGCCAAGTGCCTCCGCGCTCACTTCACTCGACACCAGTACTACTACTGGCCTCCTTGTCAGTCTGTGGTGTCGTGTCTGGCATTTCACTTTCGTTTGGGCGTCGTGTCGTGTGTTGTGACGATGCAGATACATCAAGCAGGGCAACATGAGCGCGATGCTGAAGTGGGTCATCACGTGCGGCCACCACGTCGTGCTACGCGATCTCGTTCGCGACTCTCCACAAGCCCTCGCCGCCCTGCACGACCAACGGCGGTTCCACGACGCCATCGACGGGCACCTGACCCACCTCGCGCTGATCGGCTCCGACCTGCGGGTGATCGACCTGGTGGCGGCCCACGCCGGCGTGCCACCATTGGCCATCTCACGGGCCGCGCGCAGTGGCTCGCTGCAGGCGCTCGAGCTGCTCGTGCGCCATTTTGTCGACCACCACGCCGGCCTGCTCTCAGAAAGAACATCAGCCGACACTTCCATCGAAACGACTGGGCCAATCACCGAGGAGCTGCTCGACCAGCTCGACCAGGCACTCATGCAGGGCGGCCTCAGCGTCGCGCGCCTTTTCCTCCTTTCTGGTACCCACACGCTACTCGGCCCGGTCTGGGCCAGGTCCAGGACGCGAGCAGCCCTATAAAACCCTGTCCCTGTGTGTGGCTTATTAGGTGAGGGCGGCCATGTGGGTCTGATGCGTCCACTCCTAGAGCGAAGCAATGCCGCCCGCCGACACAAACTGCTGATGACCATCACCAACCGCAAGGGCAACACCGGTGCGCTCGAGTGTGTGTTGTGTGTGTTGTGTGTGTTGTGTTGTGTGTGTGTGTGTGAGACAGAGAGAGAGAGAGAGCGTTATATTGGACTATCGAACTAACTTGGGCTTGTGGGCACGTGAAGCATTCTTGGAGGCGTGCGACACGGGCTGCGCCGAGGTGTTTGCCTTCCTGTTCCCGCTTCTATCGGACGACCAAATCCGCACCGTAGCCAATCAACAGCGAATGACCGGTCTGCTGTTGGCCCTCCGTCGCGGTGATGTGGACATGGCCCGAGCCTTCCTCGACCGCGGTGCCTCGGCCAACGGCGATCGTCCCCTCGGGCCGCTCCCGCTCGCCGTCGCCGTAGCGGTACGCCCACTTTGTGCCATTTGATGCCGACATCTGCGCTAACTGGGTGGTCAGGCGGAGCGCAACAGGGTCGAGCTGGTAAGTCTGTTGCTGGGGCGGGGCGCCGACATCAACAAAGTTCAGATGGGCAGAGGCCAGACGTGCCTCTGCGCCGCGTGCGGCACGTCGAGCGTCAGCTACGATCTGGTGAAGCTGCTGCTCGACAAGGGCGCCGACCTATCCGTCATGGTAACGTTGGCCCACCACCTTAACTAAGTCGCAGGGAGCAGCCACCTTAACTTGCTTTACCCCGCAAGACCCAGCCGGCCGGGTGGAGTGTCACGGGGCGGCTGCTGCAGAGCCCAGACCCGCTCGGCGACGGCGAAGAGAAACTTCGAGTGACGCGGCTGCTGCTGGAGCGGGGAGCGCCGCTGGTCGCCAAAGAACATGCGGCCCGCAGCGGCTCCGAGGGGCTGGTGGTTCAGGTACTCCGCTGGTTCGCCAAGCTGGGCCAGCTCGGCCAGTTCCAGTTCGAGCGAGCCGAAGCCACCGCCCTTGCCACACTGCAGCTGCTGACCGACTATGGCTGCACAGCAAAGGTGCGCGTTACCATGCAACCACATACGCCACCTTAACAACAACGTCAGCACCTTAAATGTTACTTATTATTAGGACATGCCACCCGAGGAGCTGCTGCCACTGGTGGCCACCACCTCGCCTCGCATCCTGCGCTACTTTGTCGACCACCACGGGCTGTCGCTGACCGCCGACGGCGCCGCGCCGGGCCTGGCCCTCGCCGCTGCGCTGAGATCGAACACCGACGCCCACCACCGCCTGGTCACCGTGCGCGCGCTGCTTGAGCTGGGCGTCGGTCTGGCGCGGCTGCCCGATCCGGCCTCCATCCCCGCGGTCCACTACGTGCGCGAGGGCGAGGAGGACCTGCTGGCCCTGCTGGTGGCGCACGGAGCCGACGTCAACGCGGTGGACCAGGCCGGGTGTACCCTGCTCCACCGCTACATGTGGCGGATGCAGCCGAAGAGCGAGGACTGGGTGCGCGCGCTCCACCGCTTCGGCATTGACTTTGGGCTGCGCGAGTGTCGCCAGCGCACCGCGTGGGAGTGCGGCCGGTTGAGTGGGCGGATCGTGGCGGTGCTGAGAGAGCTCGCGCCACAGCCAGGCCAGTAGTCCACCTATGGCTCGGCGAGAGAACGAAAGCGAAGCCGGCCGTCGAATTCGTTTTTCGATATTAATAAGATAATCTTTTTTTCTATTGTTTACCGCAAAATATTATTGTGTCCAACATGGAAGAACTGCCAGATGAGCTGCTCGTTCACATCCTCGGCTTCCTGGGCGAACGAGAGGAGAACGTTGAAGGTGAAGATGAAGATGAGCATAGGGCAATGGAGGGCTTTGTGCGTGCTACCCCTCCCCCCCGCGAAACGAACCCGCTGACACTGTGACCCTGCGTGTACACCCTACACTGGTGGTGGTCCCTCACTTTGTGCTCTGCCGGTGCACAGCGTGCGCTGGTGAGCGTGAGCGCCACCAGCCGCCGGCTCCGGGCGGTGTCCGACTCCGCTGCCCTGTGGCGCCGCCTCTACGCCCGCCGCTTCCTCGCGCACTCGCCCTTCGCGCGTCTCGACCTCTATGAACACATCCCGCCCTTCCGGCTCGCCCACGAGGACCGCGAGCGCGCTCTCCTCTCCTGTTGGTGCGTTTTTATTTCTTTCTTTATTTATTTATATATTATTAATTTATTTATTGTTTTTTAGCCAATTATCCAGTTTATTATTTCTCTTAATTATTACCCAACGCTGAAGTACTTTCTTATTATTTCACTTCACGCGGACTAATGCTGAAACCGTGGGGTTGCCAGGCCGGGCGAGGACCGGTGGCGAGACGCCTTCGTGCGGGAAGCGCGATGGTCCTCGGGCAAGAACGTTCATACCGCCGTAGCCCGCGTACGTCTCATGTACATTGGTGTTGTGTGCCGTGTGTCGTGCGTCGTGTGTCGTGTTTGCCGTGTGCGCCGTGCAAGTGTCATAAAATATATACTGCACAGATTCCCGATCGAGTGGCGATGACGACGGGGCGCAACGTGCTGGTGGACGAGCGCGACCCCGAGAAGCCGGTCATCTTCGTGTCGTGCGGCAACGGACGCATTCACTCGTTTCGGTACGACCGCAGCCGTGGCGCCGGGGCCGAGCTGCGCAAAAAGAAGGTCTACTCGATCTCCAACGTCGGCACGCGGGCCATCCTGGGCGTGATGCGCATCAAAGACGCCTACATGACCGGCCTTCACCAAACGGATGAGTTGCTCATCGCCCGCGCCCATGGCACGATCAAGGTAGACACACGACACGACACGCACACACATACTGCACGACGCACTCATATTGGGCGGCGCGCAGGTGTTTCGTAAGGGCAGCACGTGGGCCAAGCTGGGGGTGGCCACAGGCGACGGCTTCCCCACGTTGGCGGTCAACCGGGAGCGCATGTGGATGGCCTCGAGCGCCTGGGGCCGCCCCGGCGTGATCGCCCTGCACGACCTGGGCGCGGCCCGGGCAGTATCCCAGTTCACCCTCGGTCCGTCATTCCTGGCATTCCAGTCGGTTGTTACACATTCCTCTGACACTCACCCCCCACATTCCTCCCGGCCATGCCTTCTGCAGAGGGCACAGGGAGCGAGCCCGGTATGGTCTCCAAACACAACCACTTGATCGTCGGTATCTAAACTTTTTGAATTCCTCGCAAGCTTGATGTTGCATGGCAACTCATTATTTGCTTTTTTGGTTTTGGGCACGCGGGTCACAGGCTCTCCGCAAGAGCTGGCGCTGTTCGACCTGCGCTCGGGCAAGAAGGAGCGCGACCTCATCTCTGACTATAGCGGCAAGGTCAAAGGCATTATCAGCGCGCAGTTCGAGGAGGACAGCGACGCCAGCTCGTTCCTCGTTACCGCCTATGATGGTAGTGTTCCTCTGGTGTTCTCTCAACTCAGCTTACCGACTGAACGCGCGTGCGTGTCGTGCCATGTCGTGCGTGCGCTGTGCGTGTGTGGTGTGTCGTGTGGTGTGTGGTGTGTGGTGTGTGGTGTGTGGTGTGTGGTGTGGTGTATGTGTGCAGCGCGTTCCACCTACGTGTACGACTGGGATTCGCTGGAACTCCAGCGCGAGGTGCCCGGCGGGGGGTACGACGTGAGCTTCAGGCGGGGCATCGTTGCGCTGGCCACCTCGCGGGGCGCCCACATCGCCGACGCGCATTCGTCGCGCTCCGGGTTCTTGGAAGCTTCCGGTCTAGGTAAGAACTCCTGTCTTGTTGGAATGCGGGGTTGACGCACCACTGCACACACGGCACACACGGCACACATGGCACCACTGCGCACGCACACGCACACGCACACGCACACGCACACGCACACGCACACGCACACGCACACAGGGACGCCGGAGGCGGCCTATGCGGACTGGCGCAGAGTGATTTTAATTGGGCACTCGGTGCACGAGAAGCGCATCATCATTCACGACCTGGCCACGTATCGCCAGCGCAGGCTGGAGCACCCAGACGGCACTGAGCACTCGCTGGGCAGTGCGGTGACTGACGACCTGCTGCTGACCGCCTCCAAGAACACTGTTGCTGTCTGGGACTTTGCCTCCTCTTTCTCTTCATAGACCTGAATGGTGCACTCAAACTCTGAGGGTAGGAATCACAAGTGAGGTGGGAGTTGATGACTGTCTTCCTCTGTTGAACTGTGACATGATGGACTTGGTGAGACATGTCCCAACAGACCAGCTGCAGGCATGAATGCCCAATGTCCCACAGCCACAAACCCAAGATCCCAGAAAGGCGATTTTCTTTCGCCTTTTCCTCCGGGGCGACGATGTTCGGGGATCGGAAAATGTTCGGCGTTGGCCGCACCCATCGGGACCTTCCGCCCTCGGCGTAGCGCCACAGAGATACGGCACCACGCACTCAAAGGGAACACAGAGACCACCATCCACACCACACATCATCACATCACACATACAATGCGAGCTTCCCGAGTTGTCAATGCCAGCGGCATCCGCGTACGCCCCTGCCATGTTTGTAGGGCCTTTAATCTCAATCGATCTGCAATCGCTACGCCAGCAAATCATCACACGATTACATGAATTTTGTGGCATTCTTCAAGTATGCTGCAGCAATTAGAAGAGTCTGCAAGAGGAAATCATGATTGCATTGCCATGACGTATCGTATATATCTCAATCTCATCTTTTCCCTTTGTCGGGGCAGAGCGCCGTCGTGGTGAGTGCCGTGAGGACCCCCGTCGGCAGCTTCGGCGGCGTGCTTTCCACCGTGAGCGGCCCCCGCCTCGCCGCCGCCTGCATCACCGCCGCCCTCCAGCGCACCCAGGGCGGTACCATTGCCCCCCCCCCTCTGCTCACCAGTTGTTGACACCCGGGGCTAACTGCCGAGTTGGTGGTCGTGACGACCTGTGCAGGCCAGGTCGGCGCTGCCGAGGTCACCGAGGCCATCATGGGTAACGTCATCTCCGCCAACGTCGGCCAGGCCCCCGCTCGCCAGGCCGCCATCCTCGCCGGTACGCCCACAACCTACCCATCCGTGCGTGTGCGGTGGTGTGTTCTTACCAGGCGGCGTGTTGCATGGGCGCAGGGCTGAAGGAGAGCACGGTGTGCACGACGGTGAACAAGGTGTGCGCGTCGGGCATGAAGGCCATCATGTACGGCGCCCAGTCCATCATGCTGGGCCACCACGAGGTCGTCATCACCGGCGGCTTCGAGTCCATGTCCAACGTGCCCTACTATCTCGAGAAGGCCAGGTAACAACACGCGACACCACACGACACACACACGACACACACACGACACACACACCGCGCACCACACAACACTAACCGCACACGACCGTGGTGATGATCAGGACTGGTTACCGTTACGGCCACGGGCAGCTGATCGACGGCGTGCTGAAGGACGGCCTCACCGACGCCTACGACGGCCAGCACATGGGCATGTGCGCCGAGAAGTGCGCCAAGGATCACGGCTTCACGCGGGAGCACCAGGACGAGTACGCCGTGACGGCCTACCGCCGCGCGGCCGAGGCCTGGAAGCAGGGCTGGTTCAACGACGAGGTCGTGCCCGTGTCGGTGCCCGGCGGTCGCGGCAAGGAGACCGTCGTCGCCGAAGACGAGGAGTACAAGAAGGTCAACTTTGACAAGATCTCTTCCCTCAAGCCCGCCTTCCACAACGAGGTGCGCGCTCTCTCCTGCTTTCTGTGTGCGTGTGCGGTGCGTGCGTGTGCGGTGCGTGCGGTTGGGGTCCCAACACCACACACGTCGGTGGCGGCGTGCGACAAACCTCGTGGCACGTTCACCTGGTCACACGTCACGTGTGGGAAATCAAAAACAAACCAACTCGCGCGCCTCCCAAAGTGCGGAGAGAGCGCGAGCGGGCAAAACGCAGAAGGGGTCCTTTTCCTTTGTTTGTTTGCTCTGTGCGCCCGCAGGCGGCCCTTTTTTGCGTTTAATCGCCGGCCAATCCGTTTTAGCGGATGCGCGCCCCACACGCGCTTCCGTCATTGTTTTGGCCACATCGCACGATATTTTTATTATTTATGAGATTATTATATTATTTATTCTTATTTCTTATTATTTATTATTTACTGATTTGTGTCGTTGTGTGCGGCGAGAGTAGGGTACGGTCACGGCTGCCAACGCGTCTTCGCTGAACGACGGCGCATCGGCGATGCTGCTGATGAGCGAGGAGAAGGCCAAGGCCCTCGGCCTCAAGCCCCTCGCCAGGATCCTCGGCTTTGCCGATGCTGAGCAGGCGCCCATCGATTTCGCCACCAGGTACGCTGACAGTGTATACACCGCACACGCACTCACCGCACACATATCTAAACCGTGCGTGTGGCGTGCAGTCCCTCGCTGGCCATCCCCAAGGCGCTGAAGCACGCCGGCGTGGAGGCCAAGGACGTCGACTACTGGGAGATCAACGAGGCCTTCTCCGTCGTCGCCCTCGCCAACGCCAAGGTTTGTGTTTCGTTTCATTTCGTTTTGTTTTGTTTCGTTTCGTTTTTTTCCCTGCGTTCTCGCCTCCACCAACGTAACTAACGCGTGTGTGTTGTACATATTGCGTGTCGTGTCGTGTCGTGTGTTGTGTGCAGCTTCTGGGCATTTCGCTGGACCGTCTGAACGTGCACGGCGGTGGCGTGTCGCTGGGCCACCCCATCGGTTCGTCGGGCGCTCGCATCGCCGTCAGCCTCACCCACATCCTCCGCCAGAAGGTATTATTATCATTACTACCTGCAGATATTATTCTTTTTATGATATTTGTTTTCTCTTCTGTCGCTCACACGACACACAACACGACAGGGCGGCCGGATTGGTGTGGCGTCGATCTGCAACGGTGGCGGCGGCGCTTCGGCCATCGTCATCGAGAAGCTGTAATACCCTGTAGTGCATGATTGTATGTCATCGTGGTGACCAGGTCTCCGCGTCAAAAGCAAAAAGAGTGTTTGTTGTTAGCGCCCTTCACGTTACATTCATGTGTTTTTTCTTAATGTTGGTGCCCCACTGCACTTCTATGCTGGTCCAGCGTGGCGTACAAGTCTTGTGACACCTCTGGGTGCAGCTTGCGGGCAAAGACGCAATCTGACTCCACCATCACTTGGAAGTCCTGTGGGCCCAAGAAGCAGGGGTACTGCCGAGGTGCCTCAGGCTTCTGTTGTTGAGAAGTGGAAACAAAGACATCATCATCACCATCAGATCGTTATCAGATGTGGCACAACTGTGGTTGCAGTTTGTACCAGGTACAGGCACGCATCCCATCGGTGGTATCGACAGACAGGTCTTCCGTGCTAAGGAATTGGGTGAGAGAGGGGTCCGGTGCTGCCAGAGCAAAGCAGTGCAAACAAGCTAAAAAAAAAAAGGTGAGGTTGAAGTCAAGATGTACCCTTTGGTACCCCACGGTGCTGTTGAAGGGGCTGTTCATGAGCACGATCTGGAAGAACGACTCGTCGGCAACGTCTGCATTGCCGCTGCCCATGGCCAGCAGCACATTGCGGGCCAGAGCAGAAGAGAGTGTGTACTCCACAAACTCGCGGGTGAGGATAAACCACTGGTGTTGTGGTAGTTGAGGGTCCATGTGTGGGTCTCTGCCAAGAACGAAGAGGCGTACCTGGGACCCGTATTGGTCAGGCTCGGCGACCCCCGTAGGCCACGTGACGTTGGCCAGTCGCGCGAGCTTCAATTCGGGCACCTCGTTGGCCCTCTGCGGCCTTGTGCCGGGGTCGGTCACGAAGTTGGCCCCGCGCCAGTGGGCCAACCGCTCGGCCAGCTCCGCCTGGCCCACGAGGGGGTACGTGTCGCCCGACAAGTTGATCGCGTAGTCCCACTTGCCGAGGCCCAGCAGCTCCTGCAGTCCGTCAAGCTCGTTCTGCACGAGCCCCAGCGTGCCCCACCCCGAGAGCACGTTGGTGGTCATGGCCCGCACGTTGCCGCTGCCGTGGAAGACGGTGGCGGGCGAGCCCAGGAACTCGTCGAGCCTGAGCCGCCCGAGCTCGTCCATGCTCTGGTCCACGACGTAGAGGTAGAAGAAGTCGGGGCGCCATATGGCCGGCAGCAGGCGCTGCGAGGCCAGCACGGACTCGTCGGAGTGCACGAGGATGAGGTAGGCCGCCTTGAGCCCCGAGCCGCTCTCAACCTCCTGCGTGGTGGCCCATTTTGAGCGAGCGGACCAAGAAAGCAAACCCTCAAGTGGGGGGGGTTGGACCTGGTATTTGAGTAGCCCCACTACGATGCTGTAGAGAAGGAAAAAGGAGACGACAAGGAGGAGGAGAGACCTGAAGCGCATCGACAACGCTCGGGCCTTGCCCGTTACACGGTGCCCACTACAACTGCTCTTCTTCTTCTCGAGGAGGTGGAAAGCGAACACGTCATCACACCTTAAAAGGTATAAAACTTTTGACCTTTTTCGGAAGCTCATGCCGCGGAATTAGGCAAAGTTGATGGCCACGGTCTTGGAGTGGGTGAAGTGCTCCAGCATGGTCTCGAGCGAGCCCTCGCGGCCCAGGCCCGACACCTTCCACCCGCCCACCGGCAGATTGGGCTGCACCACCGCGTTCTGGTTCACCTGCACCACACCTTCACTCCCCAGCCCAGGGATGTCATCAGCCTGCAGCGTCGGACGTCTGCGGCGACGATGGCAGGTCGCGTACCGGCTTCGAGCTTGCGGGTGGCGTGGAGGGCCTTCTGGAGGTCGTTGGTCCACACGCTGGCCGACAGGCCGTACTCGGTCGAGTTGGCCTCGTCCAGCACCGCGTCGAAGTCGTTGAACTGTCGCACACGACACACGACACACACAACCGAATCCACGTTAGCGACCGCGTGTGCGTGTTGCGTGTGTAGTGCGTGACGTGCGCGGTACCTTGAAGACGCAGGTGACGGGGCCGAAGATCTCCTCACGCGCCACGCGCGACTGGTTGGAGATGCCCGTGAACACCACCGGCCTCACGTACAGACCCTGCACCACGACGCGTGAGCACACCACACAACGCGCGCACGACACACACGACACACACGACACACACGACACACACGCACGTACCTTGCTGAGCGAAGCGTCGGTGGGGAGGGCGGAGCATTCGTGGGCGGTGGCGCCCTGCTCGCCC